GTAGGTCTTATATGAAAGCCTAGGACTCATGGCATGTAAAGCCTGCCACTACATTCAAGCTTGATCAGCTACATTACCTTTGGTCCACTTGCCATTCTTCTGTTTAATTACCATTCAGCAATTGACTGCGTCAATGTCAATATTTGAAATCAACGCATCATTTTTTATTATTTTACTAAAATTACCTTTATGATTTTTGAAACGCTTCAGTTCATTGCAACAAATATTTTCCTTTAATATCACTATGTAATTATGGTAGTAATTCAATTAGTTTATCACAAAACAAAAAGTTGGTTTTACACTGTGCAAAGTGTGATAGCGTACCATAGCGGCATGAGTGCTACAGTATGCACGCACACCTGAAGAAGAAACCCACAAGAGTTATTTTGGATGATGGACCGCCAGTGTAGGCAAAACCATCTTATTCATCCTATTCATGTCTATTAAATTAGCATTAGAACGAAGAGCTTTTTAATATCTTTTGTCCCTGTAGCAGCTAAATACACTCATTATTAAAGGCATAAAGTTATCTGTCTGCTACATTAGATTCTTCATTGAATAAGTGTTTGTGAAAATGGTTGGGCTAAAATCCACATTAATTGACTGTGCCAGTGTGTGGGTTTGTGCAGGTTGGATTTGTTAGGACCAGTGTCGTTATTGTAAACTAAAACTGAAATGTAAATGGACGTTAAATAAAAGAAAATAACTCGTGAGGAGGAGGTAAGGAGTATGCACTGAATACAGTGTGTTGCTGCACCCACCACATGACAAAGCACCTCAGGGATGAGAGCCTGAGTGCAGCCATGTGACGGGTGACACCTCAGCACCACACAGTCCAAAATGGACCAGTGTGAGTTTTCTTCCCGGAGGCTGGAGTGCCAATCCTGCCACCAAACCCCAAGTTTTTCCCCTGAGGACCTACTTATAGAGCTGGACGTAGATTAACATCATACCCAGGATGAAGCAATTGCAGGTTATGGGCCAACGGAGTAGAATCTTTATTTAGCGACTGGGCTGATACCTGGCAGATGAAATTTAACTTAGATAAATGTAAGGTAATCCATGCAGGGAGCAGAAATATAAAGTAGAAATGTTTTATGGGTTCCACTGAAATAAAGGTAGCTGATTATGAGAAAGACCTTGTGTGTATGTTGATGCTTCCATGTCCCACTCTCACCAGTGCGAGGAAGCAATTAAAAAGGCCAATAGGATGTTGGGTTACATCTCTAGGTGTGTGGAGTTTAAGTCAAGGGAGGTGATGCTACGATTATACAATTCCTTGGTAAGACCCCACCTAGAATATTGTGTGCAGGTTTGGTCACCATACCTTAAAAAGGACATTGCTACCTTGGACAGGGTGTAATGTTGGGCTACGAGAATGATTCCTGGTCTTAGAGGAATGTCTTATGAGGAGAGGTTAGCTGAGCTGAATTTGTTCAGCCTCGAGCAAAGGAGACTAAGGGGGGACATGATCCAGGTAGGCATGTAACGATGAATCGCAAATCAGTTAAAAATTGATGTAAATGTATGACAATTTAAACCGGCTGACGTGGAAAATTAATTGCTACTTTAGGAGTATTTCGCAGTACTTTAACAGAAAAACTGGTGTAATATTACATTTGATTTCACAACATCAGATCAACACCAGATGTCACTGCCTATTCATGTCGACGTCATACGTCAGTTTTTGGTTTTGACCGAACGCGAGATGGCGAGTGAATGTGAAATTGAGGGCATGCTGCCGGGTGGCACGGTGGCGCAGTGGTTAGCGCTACTGGTTCACAACACAAAGGTCCTGGGTTTGGTCCTGGTAGTTTCTGTGTGGAGTTTGCATGCTCTACCCATGTTCAAGTGGGTTTTCAGCGGGGGCTCTGGTTTCCTCCCACGGTCCAAAAGCATGCAGGATCGGTTGATTGGGGAGTCAAAATTGGCTTTGTAGTTGTGTGTGTGATGTGTTGGTGACTGCCCAGGGTTGGTTCCCACCTGTGCCCGTTGTTCCCAGGATAGGCTCCCCCCTGCGACCCCAGTTGAGATTAAGCAGTTTCAGAAAATGGATTTTCTGGATGGATGCACCGCCCAATCTTAAATCGGCAATGTGGCAGCATTTCAGCTTTCTGGTAATCACAAACTAAAACGGCGAGAAAAGCACAGACGAGAGAAAAACTGCATGCAAACATTGTAAAAGACTGATAACAAACACAAATAGCACAATGAACGTGCTTCAGCATGTCCACCGGCACCACAGTGAGCTCAGTTCACCACCAAGATTATTAAAAGGGCAAAACACGCTAAAAAGCTGCACATGCAAGCCTTAGTTTATTTATTTGAATATTTTTTTTTATTTAGTTATTTTAATTTGGGATTTTTTTTAAACCGTATTTTATTCAATTTCAGTTGCACTGTTAAGAAGAGGACAGTTTAGAAAGATAAATAAAGGAATATTTTTTAATAAATTTGTCTGCAGCTCATTCTGTTAAAAAATCATGAGAAAATCATATTGTGAGCTCAGAATAGTGAATCGTATCGAATCATGAGTTGAGTGTATCATTACATCCCTAGATCCAGGTATATAAGATTCTAACAGGCCTGGATGCTGTTCGGCCAAATGGCTATTTCAATATTAGTTTAAATATTCGAACTCGTAGCCAGAAGTGGAATTTGGCGGGAGAACATTTTAAAATGAATTTGAGAAAGCGCTTCTTTACACAGCATGTAGTTAGAGTATGGAATAGTCATCCTGTTAGTGTCCTTTAAATCAGAGCTAGATAAGATTTTGAGAACTCTTGAGTTAACGTCTCCACAAATGAGCTTGATGGGCCAAATGGCCTCCTCTCGTTTGTAAATTTCTTATGTTCTTCAGCACTCTGGGTATTTATGGGACTTGATCCAGCATCCTTCCAGTTGCTGGCTCAGATCCCTAGCCTCAGAGCCACCACTCTGCCTGTGAACTGATAAATAAAAATGGTACTTATTCTGCAAAAAGTACCTCCACACCACCAGAATCTTTTTACCTTGTTTAACCACAGTATCTGCTTTTTAAAATATGGTGTGCCTGCTGATCTGACCCTTCCTTCTTCGTCACTTATGTGCTTGTTCCCTGTGTTGCGTGTGGCGTGCTCTGCTAAACTAATTTATTAAGCATGAGGATACACCAAATTTAAGCAAATTACCAACTTTTGAACACCACAATACGTATCTTATTAATATTTTTGGGCATACTACTAATCTACTTATTGAATTGTGGGTGAAAATAATGTGCGTATAGGGTCTAAAAGCCGGCATACATTATCTAAAGCCTTGCAATGGCATGCAGTTTGTTGTTGTCAGAATAGAATTAACTTACATTAAACGGTCAAGTTGATTTCCTGAAGGAAAATTAATCGTTTTAATTTATAGACAAATCGATAAAATTGTCGAGGGAAACATGGTATTGAAAGGTAGGATCTTAGCAATACCTACAGTGTGGGAGTGTAGCAGAAAATCTCCAAGCAGCTTTTATTGGATGGAGTCTGTAGTAACCTTGTCATTTAACTGTATATTCATTCTGTGTATTTGGTCTAACCATTTTATACCAAAGCCCTTACACCATACTTTTTTTGTCTAAATCCTTATTAAACCATGGAGATTATACTAAAACAGTATCACAAAATGTATGACAACAGAAAATTTCTCTGATATTTATGTTTCATTCGCTTTTGTTAGCTTCTCAAACATATTAAGGATTGCATTCATGCAGTTAATGTGATATTTTGACATGGAATAATCAGTTGTATTGTTTCTGTGCTTTAGTGCAAAGTACTACAATCATGCTTCTGCAATATAAGCAACAGAGTTGTAAAATACAGATTTTGCTTTGCCATCTGAGTGCTGGAACCTGTCACAGATTAGAGAGCACAGGGAGAACTTCCTAATTTAACAAGCGCAGGAAATGCATGAAATTGTAGTAGTGCAGCCATATTGGTTAAATAAAAACAGGCCGTCTAGGCGTTTAGATGCTGAGTCGGCTGTTACACTTGGCTATCACAGAAACATTTCCATTCCATTACGAGCCAGTAAAGCTGTCATGGATGAAATGCAGATTCAAGCATACCTTCCGCGTAATATGTTGAAGCAATAAAAACAGTATCTGAAAGAATAATATATCTACATTTGCCACGGACTGGCATCCTGCCCAAGGTGACTCTTGACTTGTAGCCTTTGTTTCCTTTGATACATCCAGACTCTTTGTGATCATGGTATGCCGGCTTTTAGGCCCTATACGCTACATAAGTAGTTATGGAATGGAGGGAATGGGTGTGTGTTCATGTACAATTACTGTCTGATTTCTAAAGTATAATACAGGCTGCAAATATGCAAAAGGTTTATAATAGAGAGTATAAGCCTTTTTAATAAATTAATTAAATATGTAAAATGGGCAATTTTATGTACCCAGTAATATTTAATTTCAGAGTCATACATGCACCATAATAGATGATAATTAGCCAAACTGAAAGGTTATTGTTACATACTCAATGCCTATTTGTAGTAGGTGATCAAAAGTCATACTAATTAAACTCCATTAGACTTCAACAATGTATGTTCTTATTCTGTATGAAGTGTTGTTTTGCATACAATGACCATTCCTGAGCAGCTCTGGCCACTAAAAAATGTGTCCCTGAAACGCGTTCCATTTGCACAAGTATTTATCATAAGCACAAAAGGGATGGACACCATTAAGATTCAGCCAAAATATATAGCATAATAAAAACCGCCATTAAGTCTTGTTCCAAATCCCAGTAATTGAACATGCTCTGGATTATTACTGACCCTTTGTCATTAGCATTCAGATTAATTTTTGTAGATGTTTCCATCATGTTGAAGCTTTCCATTGTAATGTGATAAATAAAGACTAAGACCATAAAGTAGATCTTGTATTTAGGTTTGAAATGATCTGTGCCCTAAAGGGCTTAGTCATAAGACTACAACAGCCTAGCTCACCTGCTTCTTTGTGGTTGGCGTAGAACAATACATCCTGGAGGCCGGATCCCTGCCAAGAATGCAGCTGCATCGGTGACGTTGTGATCTGTGAGACGCGACGGTGCCAGAGTCCCCAGCGTGACTTTCTGAAGGTACACTAAGGCTGAGTGAGATAGCAGAATTTTTGATCTTGCTTGCTCTTGTTCTTTGTAGGGCTTGCCTCCGTAATACAAGAAGACAGGAGTATATTTGAAATGCATACCATTAATTAAAGGGAGAGTAACACATGGTATTATTGTGTTCTTTTGACCTGCAGAAAGGTGTTTCTTCTCTTACTAAGTGTGGTTAATCGACATGCACTTAATATTTTCAGCTCCATAGATGTGAGACTGCAATTTAATGAGCCCAAACCTGATGTAACTTCGCCCTGCATGTGTTTAAAGCAAAGAGCGTTGGAGAGTGACTGTAAGAAAGACTGCAAAATGTAAATATGTGGGAATAATCGCAGTAATAATCTTAATTATTCTGCAGGAAGAGAGGCGAAGAATATCACCCGACAAATGTTGTCCAGAGTGTGTGTGTTCTCGTGGTTCTTGTCGACATGAAGGATCCATTTATGAGGTATAAAACCCAATCCTTCACAAGTCAGGCTTAAGGCTCCCATTTGCTACTTATAAATGGTAATAACTGATTAATAAAAAGAGAACTGCATTATAACTTGTTTATAACTGTCTATTAATGATTTACTATGTGTTACAACCTAATTAATAACTTGATTAAAACCCATTCCTAAACCCTTTGTAAGGCTAGTCTTACTGAAAAGTGTTTAAGTGTAAAGAGGGGGCACAAGAAACTTAGTAACTCAGTTACTACTGAAGTACAAATCATGAAGTAATATAGTAACTGCATGAACCACCATGACTGATTAATGATGAATAAACATGGGATCAGTATGTTATCGACACTTTTCTGGTTAATTAATACATTAAGTAAGAGTATACTACTAAATTATGTTTCCCCGCTCAAGAAAAGTGTTATTAATAATCCTTCTTTTGGTAAACTGTACTTGATGGGGTACAAATACTTAGTAATAACTCTACTACTGAAGTACAAATCATGAACAAATATAGTCACTACTTGAGATACATCACGATTCATTAATGATGAACAAATATGAGGAGTATTTCATTTGGGTTAATCATTACTTGTTCCTTCAGTAGTTCACTATTTTTTATATAATTAACAGATATAGCAAGAAATATAGTAACTGCTTGAGATAAAACATTTGTTACAATTCATTAATGATGAAGTAACATGAGGTCAGTATGCAATTAAAACTTAGCTTGTGATATTATAATACTATGTTATTTGTGCTCTATCTAGTAAAGTGTTACCCTTCTTTTTTAAAATTGAGGGCTTAAACACTAAATGCACATACACTATATTGCCAAAAACGTTGGGACACCTGCTTTTACACATACATGAACTTTAACGACATCCCATTCTTAATATACAGGCTTTAATATGGAGTTGACCCACCCTTTGCAGTTATAACAGCTTCAACTCTTCTGGGATGGCTGTCCACAAGGTTTGGGAGTGTGTTTATGTCCTTATGGACCTTGCTTTGTGCACTGGTGCGCAGTCATGTTGGAACAGGAAGGGACCATCCCCAAACTGTTCCCACAAAGTTGAGAGCATGAAATTGTCCAAAATCGCTTAGAATGCTGCAGCATTAAGAGTTCCTTTCACTGGAATTAAGGGCCCAAGCCCAACCCCTGAAAAACAACCCCACACCATAATCCCCCCTCCACCAAACTGTACACTTAGCACAATGCAGTAGGGCAAGTACTGTTCTCCTAGCAACCGCCAAACTCACACTCGTCCATCGGATTGCCATACAGAGAAGCGTGATTCATCACTCCAGAGAACACGTCTCCACTGCTCTAGAGTCCAGTGGCGGCATGCTGTACATAACTGCATCCAACGCAATTGCACTTGGTGATGTAAGGCTTGAATGCAGCTGCTCAACCATGGACACTCATTCCAGGATGTTCTCTATGCATTGTTCTTGAGCTAATCTGAAGGCCACACGAAGTTTGGAGGTCTGTAGCCATTGACTCTGTAGACAGTTGGCAGCTTCTGCACACTGTGAGCCTCAGCATGCATTGCCCCCACTCTGTGATTTTACGTGTCCTACTGTACCACTTCGTGGCTGAGTTGCTGTTGTTCCAAAGTGGTTCCACTGTGTTATACCACTAACAGTTGACTGTGAAATATTTAGTAGCAAGGAAATTTCAAGAATGGACTTATCACACAGGTGGCATCCTATCCTGGTACCATGCTTGAATTCACCGAGCTCCTGAGAGTGACCCATTCTTTCACAAATGCTTGTGGAAGCAGTCTGCATTCCTAGGTGCTTGATTTTATACACATGTGGCTATGGAAGTGATTGGAACACCTGAATTCAATGATTTGGAGGGGTATCCCCATACTTCTGGCAATATAGTGTATCTCAGAACAAGAAAAAAGTCCACAAAACAGCTACCCATCACATCTAGTGAGATACAACAAGGTGAATCTCTTCCTCAGAATTCATGGAGTGATGTTCCAGCAGAGGCAGCTGAAATGCTTTCACACTTTAATATTTTTAAACAGCACGGAAACCGATGGACTGACTCTGGATACAATGTCTGCATGTGCTCTCATGGGAATGTTTCTTGTACGAAACGTCGCTGCCCATGTGGCAGCGGCGAGATGCAAGGAAGCACCAGTACCGAGGACCGCTGCCCCGGATGCATTCGTAGTGGAGGTGAGATCCGACTTGGGGAGGGAGTGCTCTGGTGAATGAACTAGTTAAGGGTTAATGCACGACAGTCAGTGTCTGGGGACTACCGTTACTTGCTGTTGACAGAAATGGTGATTGTTACGAAATCCATAGAGACGTCAACCAGCTTGGTTATCAAAGAATACTTCAAAGGTATACTAGTCCATGAAGAATTCAGTAGCAGTGCTTCAACCTTTAGCAATATAATAATGTGAAGCACACCTCAGAATTGTGCAAGAACTATGAGAAGGAAAGTGGAGTACAATTCAAACAACTGGCCTAGTCCTTCCAGTCTCCAAACCTCAATCCTATGAAATTTGTATGGAATAAAATGAGCAGAAGAGTCAAAACAAATCAACACTGACAAAGCATATTATCCATCAACTGAGTTAAAGCTATTCACTAGAACTATATAAACACAAATAAACAAATGTTTTGCACAGTACTCTAACTGAGAGGTTTTTAGGTATGCTCATGTCTCCAAGTTATATAATACATGCATTCTGCCCCGGATGGTATCCAGTGCTCTTGTGCCACTTTTCTGTGGATGACACATCCTGATTCCTCTTTTAAGAGCACATGAACAGCTGTCGTCTAGCTTGCATCCCTGCTTGGACATGGAATTCTGACACGTTTCAGCCCGGAAGAATGCCGGGATACTGAAGAGAAAATGTAACATGTGTCCAGGCTATAACACACAGCTATTAGCCAACTGCCCATTGCCTTGTTGTTTTCATGGCCTCCCCCTTCACAGCCTCCTGCTTTGTCGGAAATCAAGAATATTGGGATGGGGGGGAGTGGCGGCCAGCGCGCTGCGTCAGGTGCGTCTGCAACGCTGGAGAGGCCCAGTGCTTCATCGCAGAGTGTCCCCCTGTCTCATGCAAGCGGGTCAGTGCTTCGCAGAAAGTCTCCAGCTTTGCATGTCCTGTTTGAACTGAAAACGCTGAATTTTGGGAGGTCCTGAGCCTGGCTGAAATTATTCCATGGATACACTAATTTTGGGCTGTTCAGAAAAAATGAGAATGATCTTGAAGCTGCATTTAGTACAGTTACATTTTGTATAATTAGCAGACGTTTTTGTCCAAAGTAACGTACAAACAGTACATTATAAACATACATGCTGTCAGGGAGTGAACTAGGCAAGGCATACAGTAAGTGTAGCTAGGCTGAGCTTCTAATGATTACCCAGGTACAAGTGTGTATGCAGTACTGGTACACAAACTACTCAAGAACTAATAACAAATTAAGTACCTAAGACTATTTAAGGATCAGAAGTACAACAAAGAACATTCAGGGAATGTAAAGGAGCAACTGGCTATTAGTGGAATTCATGGAACGGATACAGTAGGTCTTGAGGCATTTAATGACGGTGAAGAGCAGTTAATAAAACTAATGAAAAAAACAATCCATTCCTTCTGAAATATGCAATAGAGAGCCAAAGTCCCTGCCTTTCAGCCAGGCTCAAGGCTTCCAAAGTGGGCCGTTCCTACAATGGTCTAAATGACAAGGTGAAAACAGTGGCAGGTAAACAACCAAAATGGATTTACCCTCAGTTCATTGTAGAATCCCTGGATTGTTCTGTGTTTCTCGACAGAGTGAGCGCCTAGTGATGCGTGCCGGAGAATGCTGCCCCCAGTGTTTGCCAAGCACCTGTCAGGTGGATGGGAGAGAACACAAGGTAACCCTACCATAGAGTAGGTTAGAAAAACGACATCGCTAATGTGTTTCTGCGAAGAGTGAAGCCGCAGCTCTTCCTTAGGCCATCGAAGGTTGTTACTCAGGCTATTTGGGATAGAAACTTAAAAAAAATGCTAGAGGAAAGAAGCAGCATTTGATCAGTTGTATTGTCCAGGCTTAACAATGAACAAAGAGCTTCTGTTGAATAGTACACTTATGTATGCAGCAAAAAGAGACTTTTAATGCCCTGTAGATATCACAGAAAAATAGATTAAAAATTATGGCGTGAATGAAAATGTTTGAGTTGACATTATCTGCCAACCGATAACAATGGACTTGTTTCACATGGTTTTAAAATGCGTCTTTGGCGATCGGATCACAAGTAGACAACTGTGACACATCGTCATTTACACCTGTGTCTATCATGTGTCTCCCAGGTGTGCAGCTGACCATTTGTGTTCACTTTTGTTACTGGGATGCCCCGCACACAGTTATTGTGATGTCATTGTTGGGGATGCATCAGGACGCAGTGACGTTTACGCTGCAAAAGATATGTGGTCAAATGCATCTCAGACCACCTCTGCAAGTGGTTTGAGTGATCGGATCACAACGTGTCTTGGTGGTCATTTACACTAGTTTGTAGTGCTATCCACTTGTGATCTGATCACCCAAGATGCATTTTAAAACCAAATGTAAACAGGGCCAATTAGAGATTATATCTTTCCTTTTTAATCTGAGCAAAGTTCCGTCTCTGCATAACTTGTAGTGAAATATAAATAGCTAGCTCTTCTATCATCACCGAATCTGCATGTCACACCATTTAAAATAATTATAACAATGTTATTAGTATTGTAATGCACATTCCCTCTTGCTGAATCAAAGTCTAATATTACATACAAATACAGCTTCCAGTGCAGAATAATTTTATTTAATACCACAGAAATGGCAGAGTATGGGATAAACTGTCTTCCTGGAAGAAATCTCCCACTCTTTTCTGAACATTTTATTTTTCAAGTGATATGTTGTTCTTTTTAAGGTTTGTTGTGGAGATGCAGCCACAGGAGGCTTCAGAATGAAAGAATGTTTCATCACTGAACATGTTTACATTACATTGTTGATGAGCTTTTTGTTTTCCATAGAACGGGGAGCGCTGGCAGCTAAATGCCAATATCTCCTGCATCTGTGACTGGGGTCAGGCATACTGTCACAAGCAGACCTGTCTCCACCATTCCTACAAAAAGGTCAGTCACCGCAAATTGGATCAAGCTAATGCACTGGAAGGTCTGCATTTGAACTGACATTCAGTTTTTTCCTGTGCGTAGCCAGCAGGTAATGTAGTGGATGTCGAAATCTGCTAGTTCTTAGTTCACTTGCCAGTGTGTAGCATAAGTATAGTTTATAGTACTGAAACTACACTCACTCTGTCGACTTGAATGTCAAGTTGCTTTCAATGTAAGGTGCCTACTCAGCAAATAACACATACAGTCACATTGCAAATGTACCTCCAGCCATTTTCTTAATATTTTTGTATTTTCCCCGGTATTAAGTATTTCTGTAATATTTGGCAGATAGCCAATCACTTTAATTAAAATTAAAATGTATTTTTAACATAGTTAAAATCTGTTTATGTGGAGAAACACCACTACACATTTAAATGACCCCTGGAGGCTCCTCGTGTATTTTTCTGTAGCGCATTTGTGTATTTGAATGAAGAATCGGTTGAAAGTCCATAAGATAAGGTGAAGTTTGATAACTTTGGCCTCTTTGTTTTTCTTCTCATCTTGGGGCAGGTAATGCATTTTATGTACAGAGATGATTTCACCCCATCGGTGTGTGGAGCAGTGGATTGTTCGGCTTTTGTGAAATAATGAGTTTATCATTGTAGTATCATGGTATTTCGACAGCCCTTTTTTTATCAGTGGTACAGTATAATCTAGGTTTGAGGAACCTAACTTTAAAGATCCATCCTTTTCCCAGCTCTGGCCACTTGATCTCACTCTTAAAATCATTGGTTTGAACACAATGAAGAAAATTAGCTTGTTCTTCCATGAAGCTTTTGGCCACATTAATGGATTTCACTTGAATTTTAGTCTGTGATGTCCAGTTTGAAAACTATTCAGTTCTTTGTGAAAATCTGGCTTAATGTATTGAAACACAGAAGGCTCATTTCAGTCTATTTCATTTTATTTTTTTTATGTCTGACAGAATTGTCCTTTTTTTTCTGGGATGACTCCTTTACGTCTTTCAGATTTAACAATGTTGGACAGGAAAACTGATTACTATAATTCTGAAATGATGCTGGAAGATATTTTGTTTCATAATTTGCTGTCTTGTTCATTTGAGAAGGGGAATTGCATTTGCAGGTACCAAAAAGAGTCTATCATCAACACAGAAATTCTGGTAACACTTTACATTAACTGCACCTTCAATATGCATTAATTATGAATTCATAGAACATCTAATGCACCTTCAAAATGCATTCAGAGAACATTCATAAGCAGCATGTAAGTATACCTTAACATTTTAACATACCTTACTATATATTTAATAACAAACATTACATTATTATGTGATTATGATGTTTGTTATTATATAATGTTTCTTATTAGTGCATACTATTTATCGATGTATTGTGAAGGTGCAATGAATGTTGTACTAATGCATTATAAAGGCATTATGAAGGTGCAGCTAATGTAAAGCGATAAACTGCTTGATATACAAATATGTCCCCTTGTTCTCCCTTTGTTCGAGATCTTACGAGATGTTTGTGATATTTTCTTTGATACATTCAGTTGCCTCAGGTTTGCCAATATTCTTTGCTCCTTAATGACTTGTATCTCTGTTGGTGTTTTCTTATTTTTTATCTAGTACACAAGGGGAAGTGAAGAAATCCAGATCTATATTTCCTTTGTTTCCTCTGGGCTGTGCCCTGTGCCTTTCCAGGGCCAAAACAGGACATTCCATGTAGGCCAGAGCTGTGGGGAATACATGTCCCCGGAAGGGTCGTGTCTACACGGGACTGTAGTGCGCTACAATGGAGAGGTGTGGAGCGGGGTGGGCTGTCAATCCTGCACCTGCAAAGCGGGTCGAGTGCAGTGCCAGGACACTGAGAGGGGTAGGAGCTGCTGTGCACCGGTACTGTATGGGTGATGCACTCTTTCTTGGGACGAGCTGTAGTTTTGCAGTTTTAATTATGTGTTAATTAGACGCAACCCAGAAATACTTACCTGGGTGATTTAATAGCTTTAATAGCCATGCGGCCCATGCCATCCATCAAGGGTGATCTACTAACCTGTGAAACGTCTAAGGGTTGGGATAGAGCCACCTTCATTTCTTTAACACATTTTTTTTCCGCTTGCATCATCTAACCTGTATTGTGGAGAGAAAACAAAAAACCAGCTGAATGATGGTGCGTGGCTCAGCACGTTAAGATGCTGTCAATGTGATTGGAAGGTGACCAGCTCAAATTCCATGGCATTAACCCTGCTTTATCAAATGTGTCGCTTTAAATAAAGCCATCTTCTCAATTAATGGAAAAATAAAATGAGAAAAGGTCATGGTAAAGCCAATGAGTATTTCAGATGAGTGCCGCTGGGGGTAGTTAAATTATTTTTTTTTTCTCAAAGATTTGCTTTCAGACTTGTGTGAACTTCAATTGATTGCTGTGCATTAATGTAGAACAGCAGTTTCACAGAATTCATCACTTTGTAACCTTCAAAAATACATTTTATTATAGATTTGGCAGGTACGTTTGTACATACGTAAATGAAAAGTGGCATTGTTTTGTTTTTTTTTCTTAATATTATTGGTATCAATGATGAATTTCTTTATTCAGCTTTAACTATAATTGTGATATGATAGACAGTAAGGACTATTAAAATGATCATTGCTTTAGGATGAGATAAAAGTCTCAATTCATCAAACACTAAATAACAGCCTGAATGCATTCAAAAATAAGAAGCAACTAGAACTGGATATTTTGAAATGTTTTTTATTAAAGTTTTTGGTCAGCTGTGAATCTGCTTTAGTTTGTTGTTTTTGTTCAGATTATTGCTGACCTTGGGTTTCAATTAAAGTGAGCTGCAGTACAGTGTAATTATTTTATCATTGTTGTTGCTTTCGCTTTTCAATTTCATATAAAAAGATGTATGTTATGATAACTTATAGGAAAAATTTGAAAAAGATCTTTCTCGTAGTATTTGGAATCAGTTCAGAATATAACTATTTAAACCAGAATGCATGTAAGTGTGTTAATAATATTTAAAGTATCTTAGCAAATACATACTTACTGATTTATTTTATATACGGTGGGATCCCAAATCCGCGTTTTTTTATCCGCGTTTTACTCTGCTTTTTCTTTCGGCTGCTCCTGTTTGGTGTCGTCACATCGGATCATCTGTTTTCATTTCTTCCTGTGCTCTGCATCTTCCTCTTTCACAACAACCAACTGCATGTCCTCTCTCACCACATCCATTAACATCCTCTTAGACCTTCCTTTTTCTTCTCTTGTCTGGCAGCTCTATCCTCACCATCCTCGCCCCACATACCCAGCATCCCTCCTCTGTACACGTCCAAATCAACGTAATCTCACCTCTCTGGCTTTGTCTGCAAGCCGTCCAACCTGAGCTGTCCCTCTAATATACTCCTTCCTAATCCTGCCCATCCTCATCACTCCCAAATCATAATATCTTTAACTCTGCCACCTCCAGCTCTGCCTCCTGTCTTTTTCTTCAGTGCTCCAAATCACTTGGATCATCATCTTGTAAAACTTCCCTTCCATTCTTGCTGATACAAATCACTCCTGCCACTCTTCTCCACCTACTCCACCCTGCATACACTCTCTTCTCCACCTCTCTTCCACACTCCCCGTTACTCTGAACTGTTGACCTCAAGTATTTAAACTCCTCCACCTTTGTAAACTCTGCTCCCTGCATCCTCATCTTTCCACTGTCCTCCCTCTCATTCACACACATGTATTCTGTCTTAGTCCTACTGCCCTCTCTAGAACTTATCTCCACCTCTCCAGGGTCTCCTCCAGCTGCTCCCTACTCTCCCTACAGATCACAATATCATCTGCAAACATCATAGTCCACAGGGACTCCTGTCTGATCTCATCTTTCAACCTGTCCATCACCATAGCAAACAAGAAAGGGCTCAGAGCTGACCCCTGACGCAATCCCGCCTAAACCTTGAACACATCCATCACTTCTACCACAGACGTCACCACTGTCACGCTGTCCTCATGCATATCATGTACCACTCTTAGATACTCGTCTGCCACTCCCAACTTCCTCATACAAGACAGCTCCTCTCTAGGCACCCTGTCATATGCTTTCTCCAAGTCCACAAAGACACAATGCGTTTCCTTCTGACTTTCTCTATACTTCTCCATCAACACCCTCAGAGAAAACATTGCATCAGTAGTGCTCTTTCCCATCATGAAACCATATACTGCTGCTCACTAATCATCACTTCTCTTGTTAACCTAGCTTCCACTACGCTTTCCCATAACTTCATGCTGTGACTGATTAACTTTCTCCCTCTGTAGTTACTACAGTTCTGCACATCACTCTTATTCTTGAAAATCAGTGCCAGTATACTTCATCTCCACTCCTCAGGCCATCTGTTTCACTTTCCATGATTGCATTAAACAATCTGGTTAAAAAATCCACTGCCATCTCACCTAAACACCTCTATGCATCCACAGGCATATCATCTGGACCAAAAGCCTTTCCATTCTTCATCCTTGTCATAGTTGTCCTTACTTCCTCCTTGCTAACCCTCTGCACCTCATCCAACCATCACATTCTCTTCATTCATCAGCCCCTCAAAGTACTCTTTCCATTTGCTCAACACACTGTCCTCACTTTTGAATACATGTACACCATTATCCTTGATGACTGTAACCTGCTGCACATCTTTCCCAGCTCGGTCCCTCTGTCTAGCCATGTGATGCAGGTCCTTTTCTACCTCCTTAGTGTCCAACCTCTCATACAACTCATCATACGCCTTCATCACCTCTCCTTTTCCCATACGCCTCATCTCCTTGTACTCCGGTCTACTTTCTTCATCTCTCTGGCTATCCCACTTCTTCTTTGCCAACCCCTTCATCTGTATACTCTCCTGTACTTCCTGAATCCACTAGCAGGTTTCCTTGTCCTCCTTCCTCCATCCAGATTTGAAAACCATCCAGTTTGAACCCACGTCCGACACACCTGGCTTTACTCCCCTTCCATCTGGTCTCTTGTATGTACAATATATCAACCTTTCTTCTCTACATCATATCAGCAAGCTCTCTACCTTTACCTGTCATACTGCCACCACTCAAAGTTCCTACTCTCATTTCCACTCTCCTACACTTCCTTCTCTCCTCCTCCCTCCAGACATACCTTCCCCCTCTTCGTCTTTGGCCAACAAGAGCCCATCACCCTGTTGACTAACGGCACTGTAGGCATTTTTAACCCGGGCCTCGAGTGATCTGGTATGGGAATCTCTATTTTGATTTGGCAAAGGCTTTACACTGGATGTCCTTCCTGACGTGACCCTCCCTATTTATCTGAGCTTGGGACCAGCACGAAGAAACACACCTGCTTGTGCATTCCCAGTGGGTGGGTTAGTTATACACAGTCTACTGCGTTCTGAAAAAGAAAAAAATGAATAATTCCATAAATAAACAGTTCATAATTTTCAAACCATTTACCAAGCAAGTACAGGCTGTAACATGGTGAAATCCTCCATCCCAATTGCGCTTAGTACATGAGTTATCTCCCATTGTCCCCAAAGTGGGGGGGGGGGGGGGGGCTGCGAACTCATGGGCTATTTGAGGCTGCGGATCACCTGCTTATCCAATGCTTCTCTACCTACCCCCCCAGTCAAAAGCTTGTACCCTTGCCTCGGGCCTGGCGGTATAAGTGAATTTATGAATCAAAAAGAGGGGAAGCAGATGTAGGGGAAATGCAAGGAATCATTATTACTTGGTTCATTTCATTGTAAAATATTTGTTAACCGGCTCACAGCTCAAAGGTTAAAAATATCATTTGCGATATTTGTTTTATTTCATTGAAGAGTAACAACTTAAAATGAGGGTCTTCCCAGTTATTAAGTGCACTTCCAATGGTTGTCAGGCTTGTCTTTATTGTCATTTGGCAAATTTGTTTTAGATTTAAATTCTAGGCTTTTGTTCATAAGCATTCTCCTGGTTTATTAGCAAAGTCATAAACTGATTTTAAAAATGCTTTTGGTAGACATACTGTAGTGGAGTGAAAAATCAATGTCAAGGCTCCTTTATTGGACACATGCAACACAGATTTAGGTATAATTTATTTTTGTTTTTGATACATCTGTTTGCAAGAATAACATGTATAATGAATAGTTATAGTTGCATATTTACAAACAGGGTAGGAAACCCTATATTTGCATTTAGTTTTGACCACAGTGTTTGTGACATGGCTTTGACTTAAAATTAGATATTTATCCCACATAACAGACAATACCTATATATGTACTGTAAGTGTGTGTATTTGTATACGTATATATAACCACGCGCATGCACGGACACTTGATGCACGTATGGGTATTTTCCCTAAAAATATTGAGATTTGGTTTTTGGTCCATATCACCCAAACATCTGTCTGTTGTTGAAGAAGAAAAACATTGCCACTACGAGTTAATCAGTGTTAATCACCTTGCCATTTCACTCTGAATCTAATTTCCAACATTGATTATATCTGTGCTGTTGTCTATGCTGAAAGTTTATGTATTATTATTCAACAGTAACTGTCACTCTAACCCTAGCAAATCTTCAACAGGGGCAAGTAGACCACTCACCCAGAAGGTGCTACCCAGAATGCAGGTCTGCAGGAATGGTCTGCATGTACAAAGATGAAATAAAGAAGGTAATAGGATCTGGCATCCTCAGATTTATCAAATCATAACTATGACTCACATGAGCTTGGTACTACGGTATGTTGTAATACTGCGATTCCACGTGGGATTTGTTGACATTTTTATTTGTATGTTGAATATAAAGAGTTATTGTTTGTTTTAGCTGGTTTAGGAAAAAATACAATGCATTCTTTAATGATTGTAGACTACAGCTTCTCCTCAGGTTAAGATGGGGTTACATTCCATTAGATCTATCATAAGGGGAAAATGCATTTTAATACAGCACACCTAACCTAACAAACTTCATAGCCTAGCCTAGCGTACCTTAAACATGCTTAGAACATTTACAGTTGGGCAAAATAATTCACGCAAAGCATATTTTATAATAAAATGGTAAGTATATCATGTAATTTGTTGAATAATGTACTGAAAGTGAAAAACATACTGTATATCCACCATGAAGTCGAAATATCGTAACACGGACCATCGTAACCCAGGGAGCATCTGTATTTTCAAAACTGCATATGTGGTGTTTGTGTTACAGACATACATTTTTAATGCAATTTTGAATGCCTACTTGAATTAATAATCTATTATTATTACAGCAATCTGTTCAGTTTTTAACCGATCACAACTGATAAAAGGAGGAAGCAGAATTTAATCCTAACCATACAGTATAGTCCATTAATGCTCACAGCTAGCTAATATTCACAGGGGCATCCATTGAATATGCATAATTTGTATCCTGCTTGGTGTAAGGGGAACATTAATGCAAGAAAAGAAGGGGTCCCATTTTCATGGATTCGCTTTTCTGCTCATACTTTATTTGTTCTGTGATGCTGTAATTCACGAATAGTATGTCTAGCGTTGTTTTTAACCATTAATGTCATTATATCGTAATTTACAATAAACCTCGTTATACCTTTGCTTTGTGTTAATTTTCTTCGGCCTCATATCATGCTTTTTGGGAAACCCACATTTTCATATTTTCAGATTCATGTAGAGTAAGACTTTAAACAAGTGAAGATGGGCCTCTAATGAAGAGCAGTTCTATACAGTATCTGTCCCACATGCCGCACATAATTTCCTTTGCACAGTATTTCTAATGACTATTCATATTTGGCTATTGAACCCAAAACATCACTGTTAAGCCTTTCTTGTTGCCTCTCATGTGTCTGAATGCATCCTCTGTTTGGCCTCTTCTCCACAGAACCTGGATGTGTGGCAGGAAGGGCCCTGCCGAGTGTGCGAATGCCTGCACTCCAGGGTGACCTGTTACCGTCTCGCGTGTCCCCCGCACCCTTCGGGGACTCTCGCCCTGCCCGTGGAGGGGAGCTGCTGCCCAGAGTGCCAAAGCAGTAAGAGCAGCTGTAATGAGCTCCTGAGAAAGCAGAGGGTGGAATGACCGTTTGTCCCTCGCTGACTCATGCGTTGATTCTTTCTGTCATTTATTCATGTTCTCATTACTTCATTTCATCCTCATTCCTGTTGTCTCCAAATATTAGTGTTCTGCTGTTATTTTGACAGTTATTCTGGGACCAGATTCCGTCTTTGTGCCCGAAGCAGCCATCCACACTTCAAGATCCTTTCTTCTTCCCTCTAAAAATGGCAGTTTGCGTTGCTTTATTCAGATAGCTTTTTCCTGCTATTTCCCTAGTTCCCCAGATCCTTGTTCTCTTCACTAAGCCGACCGGCTTTTCTTTCATGCTACAGAATGGCAAACCAGGAGGAGCAGGCGTGTTTCTCTGTCGCAGGCTTACCTGCCTGACAGCTTTATTAGTGATTAGAGGTGCTTGCGACGAGTTAAAAGGCACAGAATCTCTTTTGAATTCCACAGCTCAGAGTTCCGGTGAATGCATGAGACATAGTGTCTGGCAACAAGCTGATAGACAGGATTTCCAGAGGAACATAGTAAACGAGTGTAGATGGTGTCATGTCAAGGTTGCTGGATGAATAATAAAAATTGGGTGCGTTTTTTATTGCTCAGCTGATTTTTATTATCATTTTTAAGCGCCTTTTTACAGTTGGATAACTAAATTGAGCAATTCAGGTTAAAGACTTGCTCTGGGGTACAACACTACAACCACTTCTGAGAGCTGGCTCATGTCCCTAGGCACCAAGTTACCATAAAAAATGCCTCAGATCCAAAGCCCAAAATTCTAATGTCTTTTTCATCCTTTAAAATGTCTTCATTTTGTTTGTTTGCTTTGAGGCTGCATTTGTGCTGTATACATGGACTTTCAGCCTGTATAATGAATCTTGAGGCTAGGTTTCTGAGTATGCCTGTGTGTATGTACATGGACATGTGTCTGATTGTGTGTGAAGAGGTAGCCTTTTATAGAAGTGCCTCTGTACCCTCCATACCCACCATACCCCCTTCATTCTATGCCCAGGAAAAAAATGAATCAGGTCGGTATGGTTTAATGTTTATACGCTACATTCTTTTATTGTACTGCAACCATTCCTTTGGTTTTATACAGAATATTCTCTCTAAACTCTTTCCAGGCTGAATAACTCTAAGAATGTTGGAAAAGGTGTTGCATAAATGTAGCCCTATTTAGTTATTACATTTCCTATTCAGTGCCACACGTCTTTAGTTTTAGTTGTCATGTTTTCTGAGTCCTTCTCTTGACCTTGACTGGGAATCCAGAGATATAAGGCTGAGGCCACTTTTGTTTTTGATGCTCCTGTGAAAGCTAAGTGCAAACAGAACAGCACTGGCTGAAAAGTGCCACTAAGGGACCTTTTAAAAATATGACTCATTGTCAAAAATGACTGTGGTTCAAAGGCTGATGTGCAGGCGTTTCGTGCTGTTCTCAGTTGACTGTTCTTCTCTTGCTCAGCTTTCTCACATGGTTACTGGTAAATTATTTTCTTAATTGCCATGTTGAAAGTACTTCAGCATCTGATAGCTTCAGTCTTGGGTCAGTGAATATCACTCAGGGAATGTGGACTGCTCTGTTTCTTCTTCCAGCCTTATGTTTTTACAGATGTACAGCAGTTATTTTTAATGTGGCATGTTCCCGTTGAAAGGTATTAGCACTGCATTAGAAAACCATTAATCTGTCCAATCATATGTTTATCCATTTTTAAGTACTGCTTATCCTGGAAGGCTGGAAACTACTCCAAGCATTGGGGAATTTTTTTGAATTTTGAGATAGAAGCAGCTATATCCAATGATAACTATAACTATTCACAATACAAGTGAAATTTAGAACTATAATGGCATTTTTACAACGCAGCATGAGTGCTATGCAAGATTTGGTGTTTTGGTACTATGGTAAAAAGTAATATGGTAATATACAGTATATGCTTTTTATGTATGTTTATGGCTTGCAGTTCCGTGTCACTTGGACTGCCTGAGCCGCTCCCAGAATCCAAGTCTCTGCAACAGATGCAAGGATCCCATCTCTGTACTTCATAATGGACACCATTTCGAATGTCCCCCTGGCTTCTATCAGAATGGCAACACCTGTGCGGGTAGGACCTGATTCTGCCTATAATTGCTGACGTCCACCACACATACTGTATCAGTCTGTGAGTGTACTGCCGGAGACCAAGGGAAGCCATGCTTCCCCTATAAAAATATATGTAGAAAAATATACTTTCACATTTTATGTCACACACACACACATACACACGCATTATTTATTATTTCATTTTAGTTTTTGCTTTGTTTGTGGAAATACAATAACTCTTTCAAACTGCACCCTTGCCGATCAAAAAACTACCACGAGTTCGACGAGGGCCAGAAGCCAGAACACACTGGCATCCCTTGGTTGAAATATATTTTTAATTATCCAGTCAGAAGCGTTCATCAGTGAACACCACTTACAGTAAGTATTAGTGGCAAAGCACAATAAAAAAAAAAAAACCAAGGGAAGCCAAAATGAAGTTGGCTTCAAATATCTTTACTTTCTTAATTACAAACACACTACAGTAACGACTTGAAAATGACCGACCTGGAGATTTTTGTGAAGAATGACTTTACAAAACTACAATTTGAGCCGTAGGTCAAAAAATTATAGAAACGCTGGATATAGTAGAAAAACAGATGAGAAGAGTTATGCCATCTTTTAATAGAGAGAACTACAACAAAAGTGAGCGGCTAATTGGCAATGCTAATCTAAAAACTAGGCATATTATTATATTATAATATTGAAGTAAAAATAGCTCTTGTATCGGAATCTATATCGGTATTGGCAGTTGTGTATCGGAATCAGAACTGGAACTGGAAAAGTGTGGATAGGCTCATCCCTATTTATAACTTGTGGTAGTGACAGCAACTTCTACTGATTTGTCCAATAGGCTGAGCTGCCCTGGCCATTTTACCCACGCACTGCTACTGATTTTAAGAGTTTCCATCTATGTATTTTACACACCATTTTCACATACTTAAAGTGTTAACTTAGTACTTTGGAATCCTGCAGCATGACTCCACTGCACATCTCAGTGCAGCTAAAAATGGACTGTGAACTGCGAACATGCACCCCCACCCCCCCTCCCAGATCGTCAAAAGGTGACAATCTTAAATCCTCAAATTAATAGTGAGTATCTCTGGATACAACACTGTTGCTGCCTCACAACTAGAGCCGAAGGCATCCCTAGAATTCTAGCATGCCAGATTGTCAGTGTTCGATGTGCAGGATTCCAGTGTACAGGAATGTCTTATGAATAATGAATGGCTTAAACTGTGACTTCCAGAATGAAACTTTGGCATTAATATTGACATTGATATTGCAAAGCATATCCTCAGAAATTAATTTGCATACATTTTTTTCCATTCTTAAATATGCATTAACTAAATATGCATAATGAAGAAAAAATGTTGCCATTATCAACATTAGAAACTAGGAAAATAAAAAAAAAACAAACATTTATGAAGACATAATTCAGTAGTTTACCTTGTATTGAGTTATGCATTCTTGTTCAAGCAGCTTACTGAACGTGCATTCAGCCAGTGTGCGATGGCCTTTTTCTTGAATGTCCCCCCACACAGCCTGCAAGGCCTCGTGCCTCACAGACCAGGATGAGTGTACATTGTGTGGATGGTTTCTCCTGATGCGTGACCGTCAGTGTGTCCTGTGAAAGGTGCCTTAAACAGGACAAGATGACGTGCAAACGCGCAAAGTATGACCTTGTCTGGTCTAATAACTGTCCTTTAGAAAACTCTGCAATAAACGACACATTTAATTAACCAAAGTAGACGTGGACTTTTGATAATGAAAAGACGGCCTGTAGTTAAACTTGTAAACTTGCAAGGGTCAGGGTTAATAAGACCATTGAAAAGACTATTTAAAATGCTCTGAAATATGAACCTATGCTTAGGGGGTTTGTGAACCTACATGTAGTGTTTTTGTATGTGACTAAAGTATCGCAAATGTGCTATAGATTTACATGCTTTCATTCTTCTACAATGTGCCTCAGTTTTATACAGTGGTATTCTTCTTTCCGTAATATCTGAGAAAGGTATTCAGTATATTTCCTACTATACAAAGCCAGAGCAAATCAATTTCACTTGGTACTTGTAGGTGAGAATTTAATTTAGCATCCAGTTTAATATAACAGGTAAATTATTAGATTTCAGCTATTTTTGTAGTGACACTTGTTTTGAAACTATAAATGCGGCAAGGAAAGCTATTTACTGTTAATGATGTAATATTATGCCTTTGAGAAATTTGGAGATATGTTTCCTTTGTTAATCTTTGATTAAATGGCTCTCCCAATGTGAAATCTTCGTTCATATTACTTTTTAATGCAGCAGTAGGTTTAATCCACTTCCCTTATCCCTAGGTTGATTTCCATTTGCTACAAGACAACCTGTTTGGATTTTCCTCCTGCTAATTGGCATCTAGGAAGAGGAAAGATAGAGACAGATTATCTCATGACATGGGATTACAACCTATGTCATTTCTGGAAAATGACAAATGTGGGGAAAATAATCCATGTTATAAATTACATGACTTTGTCCCAATTACTTTTGCCCCATTTCCACCAAGACAGAACCGGTGCTGCACTGGTTCTTGCCTTTTGAGAACCTGCTCATGTTTCTACCAATTTCAAAAATGAACAAAACAGAAATGTTAGTAGGCGGAAGTGAAGGTAAAGTAAAGGTTAATCTGTATTGGTAAGATCCCACCTAAAATATTGTGTGCAGGTTTAGTCACCTTACCTTAAAAAGGACATTGCTGCCTTAGAAAGGGTTCAATGCAGGGCTCTAAAAATGATTGCTAGTCTTAGAGGAATATCTTTTGTGGAGAGGATAGTTGAGCTGAATCTCATATAAGATTCTAACAGGATGCTGTTCAACCAAATAGTTACTTCAGTATTAGTTCAAATACAAGAACTCATTGACGTAGGTGGAAATTAGTGGTAGAACATTTTACACGGGAAAGCACTTCTTTATACAGCGTGTAGTTATAGTATGGAATAATCTGTTAGTGTCATGCAGACTAAAGCCTTGGGTTCCTTTAAATCAGTTACTGTAGGTAAATTCTTAACAACTTTAAGCTATTAATTGAATTCTCCCCAAATGAGCTTGATGAAGAAAATAATTTCTTATGTTATTATTTCATTTTTTGGATTTATTTTAATCTGTTTTGGATTTTAAGTTTTTATAAACTGCCAAACCAAAAACAATGTTTTCAGAGTATGACTCATTGCACTTTTTTTTATTGCATGTATACCTGCTTTTTTCTACGTAAAGGCTCCTCCGTCTGTGTGTTTTAGTTTACTCTCGCTTGCTGTTTTATCGCTGTCCTTTTAAGGATCGCACAATAAAAGAGTCTGCTAAAACTGCACTATATTTATATTTTATTATTAAACCTGCAGGGTGTTCCACGAAGCAGGATTAAGGGAAAGTCTGACTTATTTTGATAAGTCTGGCTCATTTAAGCGGGAATTCCGTTCCCTCAGTGTGTCTTAAATGAATCCCTGCTGAGTTACCTTGATAACTTAGTGAAGTGAACAAGTTTGCTCTGGACCAGTTTAACTGTCTCGCTTAGTTAAGCATTGTCTCAAAGAATGTCCGACGTGTGGGAACAGATTCCCAAAAGATCGTTCCATCGGACGAAATTCCGCGATCTCGATCACTACTCATGTCATGTAATAAATACAATAAAGCCTATAAAAATCACGTCTCAGCATTCCAGTTAATTCCACGATAATTAAAATAAACACGTACCCAGTGTTAATTTTGTTGATGAAAATTTTACATCATAGTTATCATCAACGACCTTTATTTTCAGACTAATTAAAAAAAACACCACTCTCATTTTACACGCTTTCCCACTCATTTGATCGATCTATTGTTCATCCATTCATTTGGGCTTCTTAAATATCTCAGGTATGCGCACTAAATGAGGCTATGCAAGTCTGTCTTGTATGATTAGTTACAGCTGAAGTGCATTAATGGAACAACATGAGGCTAAATTTAGAGATAGTTTGAGTCTGACTTTTTTGGGAAAGTCTGGCTTTCTTTAGCTACTTTCATGGAATACTCCCCTGGCCAGGAAATCAATCTTTCATTTTTAAAACAACAATAATATTTTTTTAAAAAGCACTACAGTATATGCTATTATTCAGCTGATAAGCTGGCAAGTTGTTTCACTACCGACACCGTTATTAGTCTAAATTATATTGTTTATGAAGTGAATTTTCTGGGTATGCAGAAGGTTTAGAACGATAGCCTTTCTTTCACTGATGTGTGGTGCCAGACTCTGAGACCAGCTTTTCTGTTGTGCCATGCTGGAGACGTTTTTTCTGGCCCCGGGCCATTTTTTTTGTGGTGGAAACACATGGAACTAGTTCCAGATTGGGAAATAGTCAGGCACTGTCACTAGCACAGCATTGGTGGAAATGTGTTGAGTACTTAAGTATCCCTTTTCACACTTTAAACAATCCATCACATTCTTAAGTTTTTACTTAAAAATTATAGGTTTTATAAATCATTTGACTTAACTCACTTCAAACTCACATTTAGTGCCATTGACTGACTTTTGCACACATAAAATGCACATACATGCATTTATGTCACAACTAAGAAAAATTTGGGTATGAAAATGATAACACAATCTGACCAGAGTATAAGGTTTTGAGGACGCAAATACATTTTGAATGTATTTTACCTGTAAAGCAGGAAATGACCAGCTATGCAGTAACATTTACAGCTTTTTAAAATGCTTTTATTAGGCTGTAAGCTGCACCCTCCATTCTTGCTGTCCTATATGAAATAAGATGTGTTGCATTAGTAGAGTACTGTAAATTCTATTTAGCATGAAAAGTACTTTTGCCTTTCCAGGCTATATTACAGAGAACTGCATTATATAAACACATGCTTTAAATGTAAAAAAGACATGTGTTATGTGCAGATTCTTTGTGATTCATTTGCTATCCCCAGGCGTCCTACTGTAATGTATTGAGCATTCCAATAAAAATATAAGTTATGGGCACAGCCATGTGAAGTCTATTGAATTACTGTACCCAATGAATTTTTGTAAGTGCCAAATGTAAGTCTGAGTGTTTCTTTTGAGAATGCATTTTTACTGGATCGTATTAAATGTGGCATCGCACTGTTTCCTGGCGGCATCATTTTATGCAGTGCACAAAATAAATCCGGAATCAAGGTCAGCCTTTAAAGCTCCTTTAAAATAGCTCTTCCCGCAAATTCTATATTAAGACTGCAAATGCCTTTTGCTGTGTGCGCACCAACAATGCTGTGAATCGGAAGTTCATTCATTCACTGCCGATTATGTGGTAACGCGCTTGCATTTATCTATTCGGCAGATGCATTTCCACAAATTAAGGATCTCTTAGAAAGAGTTTTATGCAACTGATGTAGAGTATCAATATAAACCTATAATCAGTCAGTGTAGGGCAGGGGTAGGCATCCCTGATTCCGGATTGCTGGAATCCAGCAGGTTTTCATCCAACCTGGCCTCTGAAGAACCTCACCAGACTTCAGTCAGATAGTAACCCATCAAGCAGGATAGAAAACCCACTGGATACCAGTACTCCAGGATCAGGATTGCCTACCCCTGTTGTACGGAGTCTTCTTTAGTGTACCTACACATATGAAATAGAATATACAGAATGTATTACACCAGAAGTTAAACATACAACACATCTAGTCAGACTTTTGAATGCAATCAGAATGCAGCCTGAAGTTCACAGATGAAATGTGGTCTAAAATGCTGTACATGAGTCCCTTTTTAATGAGGTTCAGCAGTCCTGAAGCCCATTTCTGCCCAGAGTTACTACAGATGAAACCAAGCAGGATTTTGATTTCTGGCCCTTCAAATCTGAGACAGACAGGCAGCCTGATTTACAGTAACATAACGATCTTCTAAGCCTGTAGCGTTTGAAATTGCTGATCTGTTCCCTTGACAGTCTTGCATGCCAGGACTGAGGTGTCAAATGCAATATGAGCTCAAACTGGTTACTGATCGAGGGAGACCGGGAAGGGGGAGTGAGAGGAGTGTTTGGGGAGGCAGACCACAGCAGTAGCATTCTGAATGAGCTGGATGAATGTTTTTTTCTGGCAAGCTTAAAGCACATCCGGAATAGGATTTTAGTCAGTGATCATGGCCTTATAGCTGGCTTTACAGATCTCTGAGGTATGACCAGATTCATTGCAAATTGTATATTACTGGTTCTTATTAAAGATGAAATCAAAGATTTTGACAGCTGCAGCGATTTATTATGAGTTATTTAGCATGGAGGGGGAATCGCTATTAAGTGATGGACTTGCTAAGATGTACAAACACTTTGACATGTTAAGCAGGACCCTAACCCCCAGCTAGAGAGGGAGTACAAAGGAACATTGGGTGGAGCGCTCTGTCACCAGCATGGGGAACAGGAGAATGGAACACATGGAGGTAGTTTACAGGGAAGGGAACCAGCACTGATCTTTCATTCAGCTAGGCTGTGGTGCTGAAAGGGAGCCCTGCTAGAAGTGTTGGGCGGTATACCGGTTCATACCGAAAACCATTTTTTATTATTGTTATAAATACAGCAATACCAGTATAAATAGCCTACACAACGTCCGTAAAGTGCCGCAGCTGGAAACTGTTTAAGGGGGGACCTTTTTCACCGCTAAAAAGTACCACGAAACATCAGAAACGCACACACACACACTCGCGCAGCCCTTCCCCTCCTCTCACAAGCCGCTGAACGCATTTCCGCTGGTCAACACACACATACGGAGTTGGCCGAATGTGGCATATGCTGCAGTTGAAGACACTTCGCAAGCTGCTTTAGTAAAAAAAAAAATGTAAAAGTGCCATTTAGAAGTATTTTGCAGACGAGCATGGAAAGGCTAAGGATGTCAATAAAGCTGATTCTGATTCTGATGTCGATTAAGCCTCTATGCAAAGTGCTACAAAGTTGTGGCGACGAAGTCAAGCAGAACGTCAAACTTGGCGAAGCATCTTAAAGACATCCTGATCTTTATGAGAAATTTCGCAAGATCGGTAAAGCTCGCATTCCAGCAACACTGAACTATCAAACACTTATCAAAAATGTTAACTTGGCCGGCACACACCTTTATCTATAAGCAGTTAGCCAACAAACACGTTAGCCGTATGTTATCATTAAGGTACTGTAGCAGATAGGCGCAATGGCTAATAATAAAATAAAATAGTTAATGTGGGAACAATGCAAAACCGTAAAACAAAATGTGTCCTGTAAATTGTGGTACACGGTCAGTCATACTTAAAAAAAATACCGTTGTATACCGTGAAACCGATATAACTTTGAAAAATACCGTGATATACATTTTTGGTCATACTGCACAGCTCTACCTGCTAGGGCCTATGTAAGAAGGACATGAGCAGGTGATATGGATGTGGGTAACCCCATGTAGCGATGAAAGCTGAAGGACAGTTCAGGCACTTCATAGCTGTGTGGACAGAATCACGCGCAATAGGCAATTTTAGTTGAGATTTTTGCCAAGCCTGAGGTGTAGGTCCAGTATTTTGGAGGTGTAGGTCCAGAGTTTTGGTTACACTTGAGGGGCCACAAATAACTTAGTTACTTGATTACTACTCAAGAATAAATCATGAACTTATATATTTCCTGCATGAAATACATGAACCACAATGATTGATTAATGATGAACGAACATGAGATCAGTATCAGTTACTTGTTAATTAGTGAAATAAGAGTATAACTCCATTATTTGTGCCCTCTCAAGTAATGTGTTACCATACTTTCTACTGTTGTTACTGTTGAAAAATCAAGTTAGCAAAGAAATTTTGTAAAAAGTGTTGGTGCCGTCAAATTTAATTCTGAATAAAGAAAAAATTGTGGTGTACTTGCCATACTGTACATAATAGCAAAATCCCTAAAATAACCATGATAATTCACATTCAATTGATTTACTTTGGGGCTCTTTGTATGAATCTGCATATTTTTTGCCAGTTCCAGTTTCCAAATCTAATAATAATCACATTATATCGTATGAAGTGTTTTGACTAAAGTTATTTGAGTGATCATGCTTTTTGTCTTCTCATTAATGTATTGCCTTATGGATGTTTATCTCATATCAGCTTATAAAACACATGTGACAGCATCCACAGAGCAGTCATTGAATATTTAATGTTGGAATATTTAATAAGTAAAAAAAAAAATTCAGAAATATGGAGTTGTCTGCATGAACATATAGTGAACAGTTGTACTCAGAAAACAGTTATATAAATGTACATATGTATTAGAAATATATATTATTATATATATTCTAATATGTATGTATGAAAGTGTCTTAACTAGATGTCTTGGACTTGAAGGAATCTAATAAAAACTTCAAATAAAGCACCTGCACTTGATATGGGTGTCACTGATTTAACTGTAAATTTCAGCCAGTGCCAGCTCCTTTAAATCTAAATTAAAAATTTCCTCCACTGTGAAACTTGTGATAAATCCTGCTCACCCCACTATCCCGAAAATGGCAGGGGTGCAAGATGTCCCCCAGCATCGTGGAAAATGTACTTCATATTGTCCTGAACAGCAGTACAAGGACAGCTGTGGTCAATTCTGGGGTATTGTCCCATGATCTCATTTTCTCAGTGGGGGTTTTTTTCTGCTGACAGAATTTCAGTATCCTTCTTATCGACATGTCATTCTAATAACACATAGGTGCCAGTCCTGTATCTGCTTTTACATAAAAAGGGAGTCCTTTCTCTGTGTCTGTATCAAACACATGGGAATACCTGGAGGAAGGGCACCTAATGTTTAGCTCATGTCATTCTACCTCTGTCCTCTTTTCCCAGAGTGTCACAGCTCGTGTAGGACTTGCTGGGGACCTTCTGTGTCACACTGCTCCCTCTGTCCTGGGACTATGGTTCTGTACTATGGGCAGTGCCTGCAGACCTGTGGGAAGGGCATGTTCGCTCATGGCAGCATTTGTGAAAGTAAAGTATCCTTTAGTTTGCTTACAGCATCATGGTCCTTCCTAGAATATGGCCATTGGTTTTGTTGAAGAGTTTAACAGTGATGGCTGTATATATGTAGGGTTGATAATGGACTTTAGTATTGATTAAAACTGCTTTCGGAGATGTGCTGCATTTTCCCTCAGGCTGCCACATGTCCTGCCTCTCCTGCATTGGACCCGAGTCCTCAGATTGCCTGAGCTGCCTGTTCCTGGGGGAGGTGCTACAGCTTTCATATGCTGGGGAAACACGTGGAACGTGCGTGTCAAGTTGCAAGGACCATTTCTACTCTGACCCAGACTGTGTCTGCAGACGTAAGTGTCTCGATATTAACTCTGGAAGGGGTTCTAGAATGTTCTCCTCTTCCTGTAGGGAACAAGTATTATAAAATAATAGAAAAACTATTTTCCCCACAAAGTGAATGATCTTTTTTGAGTTTATTTGGGTTTATGTGTGTTGTGGTTAATTGTTTTATAAATAAGTTATAAAGCCTCAATGCTGAGGCAGGGAAATGCACTGATGGGTGAAATAGACTTAAACTTGCAGTATTCAGGTTTTCCTTGAGGCCATAGTCCATTAGGCTGCCCCAGGGGATGCAGGTGACATTATGTGCAATAGCAGTTGAAGGTCTAAAAACCAACCAGCTATTATATGTGACACAGTGTCTCCAAGCTGTCCCCATTTTCACAGTTTCTTTGTAATACTTTATATTTGCTTTCCATACTCCACAGCATTTGGCTATACACTGTTTGTCTGCCCCGTGACAAAATGGAAGCTCTTGTATAGGAATCCATTGTGTTTAAAATAGATGTCGGGAATTAAATATGAGTAAACGTAAATCGCAGAGACATCAGTGGCACCCCATATACCTCCCAGTTCTCCAAAGGGTTATAAAAGTGAATTCCTGAAATACATTCCCTGCTCTGCTCACAGACAACTTAAGCTGCCAACATTAACAAGGACGCACCTCCAGCTGCTCCCATGAACAGCTTCTCTGTGTCGCTGTGCTGACACCTCCTTGCTGGCTGTAGTCTGCTTGATGCCCAGAAGGGAGATCTCGAGGATTTAATGGAAAACTTCTGCCTCAGGCGACTGATCCCTGTCACGATGTCGGGAGGGCCATAGTGTTCTAGGATTAGCCTTGCTCAGATGGAAAAAAGGGAGAAAGATTTTGCTGGTGGAAAACCCTGAACTTGTTCAGCTCAATTATAATTAGAGAGCATAACCCCGGCCTGCAGAGGTAGATTGTGCCTGATTTTTCATTTTGTTTGGGTCTTTGAATTAATCAGTTGAAAGAAGTATCAGTACTTGTCAAGTAAAGTGAAAGAAATGGTTTAAATGCTTTTGTGACAGAAAATGGGGGTGCAGGGGATACGTGTTGAAGCCAATTTTGTCTGTCAGTTATAGCCGGGAGTCCCTCAAGACAGAACGTAAATGGCACCATTTTTATGCAGGGGTTAACTTACGCCTGGCAGAAGCGATCAGATTCTACTAACGGCTCCTTTCGCTATCTCCAGGTTGCCATGACTCCTGTTTGCAGTGTGCAGGGAATAGCACACTCAATTGCACTGCTTGCGCTTCTCCAAGTGTCCTACACCAGGGACAGTGCCTGTGCAGGTGTCCCCAAGGGTACCACCGTCATGGAGATGCCTGCAGGGGTGAGAACCTTTCCAAGGATCCACCTAATAATCCTGACATAAGAAATGTACAGTGTATACCAGTGGTGGGGACTTGAGTCACTGACTCGCACTCGACTCAGACTCAAGTCACAAATTTTAAAACTGATGGAATGATCTGGACTCAGTTTGGACTTGAGGGCAGTGACTCAAGACTTTGACCCGACTTGGACCCTATGACTCGAGACTTGGACCCGACTTGGACCCTATGACTGGAGACTTGGACCCAACTTGGACCCTATGACTCGAGAAGACTTGAGGTTATTGTCCCCCCTCTGGATACCATGACATTAATTTTATAAGATGCATCACTCCCTGCATATACATGGATCTAAAACGTGTGTGAGAACAGGCGTGACAGAGTGGACACAGTCTTTTCAACATATCCCTGTCTATGAAGGACTTAACCTACAATGAACTGTGGTGGGATTTTGCTACAGCAAGTTTTAATGACTAAAGGTGAAAAGAAAAACTGACCTAGGAATGTATTCAAGTTACATGACTCACAACTCGACTTGCACTTCAGTCACAAATTTGATTGCTTGTGATTCGACAGCAAAAATGATGGAAAGACTTTGACTTGACTTGGATTTGCAATGTTTTGACGAGACTTTACTCAGACTCACGAAGGAGTGACTTCTTCCTTCAAACACTATGTAAGAAGTCAAGAGATATCTGAAAGAAATCTCAAGTATCTATCACTTACCATTACCTCTTGTGGAAATAAAGTGGGTAACCTGATTGACACTGGAAATGTTTGGAATACTGAGTTAAAAAGTCTTGAATGTGAAAGCAGAGGAGGAGTTGGGGGGGGGGGGTGTGCTGGCCCCTCATGACATTGGGGCTCACTGCAAAATTTACCAATGGTGGGCAGATGTTACCAAGTGGCTCTTTCCATTACAGATAATCAGGTCCATTACAGATAATCACCCCGGTTTGGCATTAATTAAAGGGGGGATCCCCTTGAACTTCAAGCTGAAATGGTTAATTTATTAAGCTTTTCTAGAACAGTCTCAGGTTCCAGAACAGACAGTCCTACTGTGAAACTGAAAAAAAAAAAATAATAGCATCATGGTGAGCACACACACATACATACAGTACACACACACGCACACACACGCACACGCACACACACACACACACACAAGCTATAAGAGATGTTTAGCTACAGTGCTACTCCCTCTTCCACCTTGCTACTGTAAATGCAGTATTTATTAGTAGCTCAGTGGGTCGCATTTTATTTATTTATGTATGTATGTATATTTTGTAAATCTCACCTTGATACTTAAATATGGTGCAGTTATTTATAAGATCCTGTAGGGATGTAGGAAACAGTATGTCACGATGTAACACTGAAATGATCTAAAATTCTGCTGCAGCTAAGCTGTGATCCTCGTTTGACATGGTGTCATCTCCATTTATAGTCTTTAATGAATTACACAAGAGGCTACATTTTAAACGCTTGCAGGCTAAATTCTTTAATAGGACTCGAATTTGACTTTATCATCCAGCCTAAAGCTACCCTCCACCCCCCCTCTCTTCCCAGACTAAGTCCTGTTCTCCATTTTCCCCTCTAATCTATGTGGCACAGCCTGCCATCCAACCTGTAAGGAATGTTCCGGCTCATCAGAGACACACTGCACAGACTGCTCCCCAGACACCGTCCTGGAAAATGGCTCCTGCAAGACCAGGTGCCCAGAGGAACAATACCACAGTCACACAGGACACTGTGTCGGTACGTATGAATGATGCGTCATTTAAGGAGCAGAGAATGAAGTCCAAGGAAAAGTAGAAGTTGGTGCTTACCTGCCTGGACTTTCAAGGTTTTGAAGGTTGCAGGTTCACCTTCCCTACAGGGTCATACCATGGTAATCTGGAGGGACATGCTTATCCCCAATGCTCGAGCAGATATGTCAGCTAATCATCTCAATATAAATTGATTTGTCAAGGGTGTCCAGTTTGTTATAACTTTAAATGGCGTAAAGAAGCTGCTTCTAATCTCATCAGCACCCTTGGATTTTCAGACCTTCTCTGAAAATGTGCAGCAGTCTCAGTGAATGCTTCGGGGATATTCCGCAGGACCTAAAAAAAATGTGTTTAACTTTAATTGGGCTGTTTCAGCACCAAATGGACAATTCTTCAAAAACACTCAGTACTCCCCAGTTTCACTGCTTTGGCTGCATTACTTCTGAGCTTGAATGAAATACATAGATACATAAATAATGGCAAACCTTATATCTACCAGATTTTAGCTGACACTTTTTATCCAAGGTTATATGCAATTTTGTGATACTATGTATTATTTTTGACATTCGTCAGTTTAAATCTTTTAATAATTGTTTAAATAACACCCTTCTTGATATTCAGAATGAGGGAGATGGATTTTCAGTAAGATTTTATATTAACTCTGTTTTAGTGCCAACAAACATAAAACGTAATATGCAAAGACAGTGAGCCAATCAGATTTGATTTTGCTCTAAACAATCAAGCCCCTGGTGTTTGCGTGAATCATGGTTTATGGCCACAGTGGGACAACTCTTTCGGGGGCTGACTTTGACTGATTTCAGTGGTTAATTAACATAATAATTTTGGGCAAAATGTGACTAGCATTTTAATCAGGGTACTGGCCCTTCTCATTTGTTCCAAAAACCATTATGCATTAAAATGTCAATTAAATGTAAATTTACAGCCTGTACAAAAATTTTTAAAAGCATACATCTACTTCTGCATAAATCACGTGCCTTATTGACTACTGCTCTATTTAAAAGGAATCCTTAGTTGAAAATGTATGAAATGAGCAGATCCATCCATAATTTTAACAAGTTGTTACTCAGTTATAAACTCTCTCAAACCTTTTAAAGTGTCTGTCCATCTTCTATCTCCTGGTAATGGTTATGCAGGGGCCTGGAGCCTATCTCAGGCACCACAGAGCACAAGGCTGAGGTACACCCTGGATGGGATGCCAGTCCATCACCGGTATATACATGCACATTATGGGTAAAATCAAGTTCCCGATTAGTCTAATTGCATGTCTTTCAGCTACAAGAGAAAATCCACAGGAAGAATGTGCAAGTCCCACGCACACAGATGGGATTTGAACCGTGAACATGTGCTACAACAATGCCAGCCATTGATTTACTATACCACCCATCTTAAATAGGGGTCATTTGATTTTACATTTTACATAATTCAACCCACAGTTTAATCACTTAGCAAAATTGCTTGTCCCAATGCAGTTTTAAAATAAGCCTTACCTGGTTTAATTATCGTTAATTTTTTAAATTATTGCTTAAGTTTTTGATAACAGTACTAAATCCAGACCAAAGTTTACTGATGAGATAAACAAGAATGGGAGGAATGCGTCAGACCTGAACAGGGCTACAGTTTCACTGGAGGAGACTAGGAGGCATGAGACCTTGTTCAGATTTGTATCAGAGTCACAGGAGTGAAGCAAAACAGAACTCAAGAATGGAACAAATCAATATGGATACCCTTGGTCACCTGAATCTATTCCGGCCACACCCTTCCCCCCTCACACAGTGCAAATAAATTAAACATATATTTATGGGAAACAATTGCTGTTTGGGGGGGTTATTCAGGAGATCACAGAGGCTGATCCCAGCTTAAATAGATTTAAGTGAGGCTGCAGCTTTAATAGCCATCTCTGGTCTAGGCCATGCATTTGTTCTTATGTTGGTGTGTGCTGTTAAAATTAGATTAAATGCATGCACACACACATTTGTGTAATAAATATTACAATGGATTATTTGCAACAGCAGATTGGAGAAAGCCAAATTTAAATATACTCAAGATAGAAGCTTAAATCAACAGATTGACAGAAGGATTAGAGGAATCATAAATTAAAAATTAAAACTCCAAGTCCAAGCAATTACACAAGTGTTTTGTCTTTTGCTTGATAGTTCAGTTAAGTTTTTCTTTTGATGGTGGAAAAAAAATAGGCAGATTTCGAATAATGTTATGGTCGTTGAAACAGGAACCCTGTGGTAGTGCTTTTTAAAGAAGTCGTTTGATCAGAGTTAGTGCAGCAATATATTTAATTTGTGACATTATTATATAATCATCAGCTGACATAAGGATGAAGTTAAGTAAACTGAAGAAAGAGTACCTGGGTAGTTACAGACAAGTCTATAAAAGCCTATTTCAGTATACCTAAGGTTCATAAGTCCTTGTGCTAACTTAGACACACAGAGCATGACAATTGGAAGCAATAATAAGAGTGCTTGTCATTACCCTGACTACTGTTTGTGAGGGTAAAGCCACTAGAGAGTTCTGGCCAGAAAACACAAATCCACGACTTTCTTTGCTAAGGAGCTTAAGTATTTAGTCATAATACTCTGGCACAAGGGTGCTTCTTAATATCTTTGTGGCATTTTTTATAGGCTGTGGTTGATTGTTAAATGTGTAAATCAGTACCAAAATATTTATGACATTAATTGGGCTAATATGGCAAACTGTCAAGAATACAACACAATTATCTTTCACCATGACATACATTCCCCCGGATTTAATACCATTCTGCTGTGAGATTTTCTTTTTCATTTACTTTGTTAATTGCAGCAGGAATCTCAGTGTCAGGCAGCACTTCAGAATCTATGTTCAAGCTGACATCTGGGAACAGGGATTACCTGCAATATGTCCCATTGTTTTTTTTATTCTTAAACCAATCAATGATCATTTATGACCTGTGGATGGAGTCAGGATGGATGATTCTACTTCTATCAGTACAGAAATTATTCACCAAAAGATTAACATGTTCACATGCAATGGATTTCTATTTGATGACAAGTAAGGGGTTAAGTGGAATCTAACCATGTCAGAAAAATGCTTCTCACAGAACATTTATCTACAGTAAATAAACTCTGAAGCCTGTGACTTCTTCTGGTGTGGGCCAGGCATATCTTTGTTGCCCATCAACAATTTAGTAAAGGGTGAATCCACTGGCTGAATGATTGCATGCCCATGTCTCACCTTGACATTTGCTTGTCTGTTATACCTTGCATCTAGAACCAATGCCCAAACATTACACTGGATGCAGTTTGCTCCACAGCTCCTCCTAGGGAATGATGTTTCACTCTACCACTTGCATACCAACATCACCATAGCTATAGTTCCCCCTGAAACAACCACAGATTGATCAATCTTTCCAGGGTCACACATCTCCCAAATATCATTCCTGTCTTTAAGTCCATGAGGTTTCATCTTCTCTAGTCAGAATTATGGCAACCCTGGCCAACATTGTACAGGTATGTAATTGTATAGTAATTGATTAACAAGGCCTGCCTTCGATATTCTATGTATCCTTCATGACCTCTGTTTTAATGGGAAACACTAGCATGGCAGATATGTTTTCCATTTACTCTGCAGTAGAAAAAGAATATAAGAGACTGATCACTGGGTCAGTGTGTAACAAGATTTAACTGTTTTCAATACAGTTTGCTTTTATTTACCTTAGCTTTAAGAACTAAATAATGTTCTTCTTGTTCTACTTAAGTAATATTTATTAGGACCAGAACATGATTTATAATGCATAAGAGGCAGTGGTGGTCTAATGCTTAGGGAAGCGCAATTGCAATTGAAAGATTGCTGGTTTGAATCCCCGACCAGCGAAATACCACTGAGGTACCCTGAGCGAGGTACCGCCCCCAAGCACTGCTCCCCGGGTGCTGAATTAGCTGCCTCCTGCTATGTCACGATGTCACATATGGGATAAATGCAGAGGACACATTTTGTTGGTGTGTCATCACTGATCACCTGATGATTTTAAAGGAAAAGCAAAATGGAAATGTTGAGTTATCTGCACTTCTTGATGGCTCCCCAACAGCTCCTAAAAGGTGGTCAGGTCTTTGTCTAAGAAATGAAAATGAGTAACAAACACAAAAAGTTACATGTCTTGTGAAGAGCCACATATCTGTAATTTTTATACAGCAGGGCAGTGCAACCAACACCTGAACATTGGAGCATCAGACTCTAGTTACCCTCTTTTCAAGAGGTTGTTATCCCAGAGGTTCACTTACATTACTTACATACACATGATTGATGTCCTTGATTTCTTTCAGCAATTTTTTCAATAAAAATATGATAATATTTTGTGTGTCTTGTTTGTTAATAAGGCTGTCTATTTATTATCATGACCTGTTGAAGATCAGGTTGCATTTTCGGAACTATTTATGCAGAATAATTTCAAGTGAATAAATCACAATCTTTTTTTCTTGCACCAAAATATATCCAATATATTTTTATTTTCCTTTAGGCATCTATTAGCACACACCCGCTGTTGCCATCAAAGCTATGTGCTGAATGGGGCGGTGTAGAAACCTCACTGGAACTCCACCCCTTTCCTGTTACCCCTAGACTGCAAAATGGACTGCCTGAGGTGTGTCTTGGACCTTCAGAACGAAGGAAGTGTATGTCTGCTGTGCAGAGACCCTAAGAGTTTGACACTCGGGGACCACTGTGTGACCCACTGCCCCCATGGACACTACATCCAACTGGGAGCCTGCAAGAGTAAGTACCAGTCTACCAGTAGAGTATGATTCCAACCACGGCAAACTCTGTTGTTGTTTAGTTATGTATTTGTTGAGTTGTTCATCCATCCATTCATCCATTTTCCATTCAGCTTATCCAGTATTGAATGACAGTGACCTTGGAGCCTATTCCAGGAAACATAAGGCACTACAATGTAATGTAACCATAATACACAGACACACACACACGCACACACATGTAGGGTAAACATATCCTTATGGGGACCGTTCATTCATTTCAATGGGGAAAATGCTAACGCTAGCTATGACAACCTTAACCCCTACCCTGCCCTAACCATAACCATAAGTAACCTAACAAAATACAAGAGTTTTTGCATTTTTAGTTTTTTCATAGCAGTCACCAATTTTTATAAAATTGAGTTTTCCCTTATGGGGACCAGGAAACCGGACCCCATAAGGGAAAAAAAAAATGAATATCTATCACGTTATGGGGACATTGTGTCCCCATAAGGATAGGTAAACCCGCTCACACACACACACACAATATACAGTGTTAGATCAACTAAACCCCAGTATGAAAAAATGTTCCTAAGCTGTAGAAAATGTCAGGATTTACAAGTCTTTTAATTGGCAGAACTACACCCTTGAAATGAGTGATATCTAGATTACAGGCAATAGTAAAATCCATGTTAATAAAAAAGCATATATATGAATCTGCAGTATATTTTTAGATATGAAGATTTTGGGCCTAGATTCTTAAAGCAGTGTGCTTGTCAGTTCTGGAAAAATTACTTGTGATTGTGTGAATATTCCCAACACCTCACAAGAAATTATTGACATTATTAATGATTGGGTGGCACTGTTGCCTCACACCTCGAGGGCTGGGGGTTTGAATCCGGCCTCTGTTCTCTTTGTGTGGCATTTGCATGTTCTCCCCATATGGTTTCCTTTGAGTATTCCGGTTTCCTTCTGCAGTCTAAAGACAGCTTAATTGGCAACTCTGAATTGTGCATATTGTATTACAGTGTGTGTGTATGCGCCCTGCAATGGACTGGCATTCTTACCAAATTCCCAGAATGCCTTTCTTCTTGTTGGAGCTCCCATGAGGACCATTTTCCTGTGCTTCATATTCCACTCCCTTGGTTCCATTGTCCACTCATCTTTGTGTGACTCACTGCCCCCTGGGATCTTAATGCCAATGAGGAACAAGTTTACCGAAATGTGTTGCTGCAGTTTCTATTCCCGTTTTATTCATACTTCAGAATGCATTTTTTTATATCTCGCCGATTTAAATTGTTGGTTGTACTTCTTGGTTTGTAATTGTGATTAATGTTATGAGCAGTGCACTCTGCAGTTTACAAGAATCAATGCCTATCACACAGATCTGATTGGATGTGCCAGTGAATTGTAAATTAAGCATCAGTGGTTTGGCTTCTTGGATTAGTTGAGTGTTCACTAGTTTTGCAGTTGCAGACCCAAGACCCATTTATATAGGTTAATTTTATTATTGGGGCTGGGAAATCTGATTGTGGATCAGCATTGGAGCTTGCTGGTTTTAAAATGCTTACATTTCCAACTTGTGACCCTTTCAGAACTTGCCCATGGGTCCCATGCAGGGGCGGATTAACGCACAGGCTAGATATGGCTTAAGCCTAGGGGCCCCACGTGTGCCAGCCTGCAAGGGGGCCCCCATTGGCACGGAGGGGGGTGGGGTTGGGGGCCCCACAGACTACTGTAGCCTAGGGGCCTCTGTACACCTTAATCCGCCCCTGGTCCCATGGGTTGACAATCACTGCTTTAGAGATCCCATTCAGGTCCTGCTCTTGGGAGACTGCCAGCATGAATGCTGTGCCCCCTACTCCTACCTTACTAGTGCCTTAACCCATACTCATGAGCTTGCAGAGGTAACCACTTTTGTCCTCAGTGGCCTTTTCATATTCTTAATGGTCTTGTGAACAGTACATGGCACACTGTTATGTGTTTACAAATTGAAGATGCGTGCAAAAAGATCAATGGCTGTCTAAAATAACACAGGTATAACGCATTACCTGTGGGTAAGTAGACACGCTGTGCTGGAGCGTCTCTTGCAAAGAGAATTAACCTCTCTCTAGAGGGAGTTCAGATTTAGTGATACCGCCAAAAAATTGAAGATGAAAGGCATTTTACCAACAAATCGGACCTCCGTTGTATGTGGTGAGCCAAGAGAATTGTGGAGACCAAAAACAACTGCTCGCCTACAAATGACAAATTCCCTTCAGGACAAGCTCAATAACTTCTTTGTTTGTTTTACTGAAATCCACCAAGGCTGAGTTACCTGCAAATGACCAGATGTTTGTATTTCATTCCCTTGAAGTCAAATGTACAGGGAACATCTATACAAGGCTAAGGTCTATGTGGTATCCCTGGATAGACATTTAACCCTATTCTGACCAACTGACAGCAGTCTTCACCACTATGCCCACCTCATGCTCTCTGGCTGCAAATATTTGAGTATTGACATAATCCACAGTTAATAACTTAAATAACCAAATAAATTGCATTTATCCCCGTAATTTTCCAGTGCGTAAAAGTCAAATAGATCACTCGAGGATGCTATCTCCGTTGCTCTACACACCATGGCAACTCACGTGGCACATACAAACGCCCACATAACACTTTCGAGCAGTGAGCAGCTCGGCCGTGGTTCGAGCCAGTGCCTCAGAAGGGGCATAAATCACCCTGTTTATCCTCCTGGGCAGAAAAAGGTCGTATGGAAAACATTTCACCGATGAGCTGAATTGAACTTGGAAATCGCTGTGTGATCTGATAAGCGTAATGAGATATGACAGCTTAGATAGAGGGATGTCCTGGGAATAGTGGATGTGGCACTTTTACCAGCATGCAGATTTAATGTAGTGCTAAGTTGCAATGCTGTACTTCAGGCATTCCTGGAACCTGAGGTGTGTGTGTGTGTGTGTGTGTGTGTGTGTGTGGGTTTTGTGGGTTTGCATAGATCACATTTGAGGACCAAATTGTACCCAAAGTGTAGTAAAACCTGAAATTTCCCTACTTTTGGGGACATCTTTTGAGGTCCCCATTTGGATAACCTCAGTTTTATAAAAATCTGTGAATGCAATTAAAAAAGTAAAAATGCCAAAAGTCTTGTATTTCGGTTAGTTACTTGTGGTCACGGTTAGGGATGGGTAGGGGTTAAGGGTGTCGTGATTGGGATTATGGTTTTTCCCATAGAAAAGATTTAGAGAGGAAGACCAACTTGTGTGTGCGCGTGTGTGTGTGTGTCAGGGTGGGATGGGTGCACTAATGGAAAATGCATTTATCCTCCAGAACAGACATAACTGGCTTGAGTGAAGCATTGGAAGACCTCGTGGCATCAATATGCTACACGAAACCTGACAAATTGCTTGTGAAGTATTGGCTAATGTGGAGTGGCTTGGCCTCAGATCCCATCATTGACTCAGAAGTCAAGGTCTGACAGTCTGCTAATAGTGTGTGTGTGTGTGTGTGGTGGTGCTGGGGGGGGTTCTCTTTCGCCTTGCTTTTATAGGTGTGGGGATAGGAATGTAATAGGAGTGAGGTTGTGCTGTGTCTAAATCCCTGTGAATGTGTGTTGCTGGAACAGCTGTGCAGGTTCAGTGCGTCTTGTCTGCTTGCCGTACATCAGAGTGCACGTCTTCCAGGGTGAAGTGTTCCCTCGGGTAGCCTCACCAGGAGGAGCAACCTGAGTCAAAGCCTATAATTAAAATAGCTCCCCTTCTTTTAATTGTGCACACAGGAAAATGTATGTCTTGTAATATTCTTCCTTTGTATATTTATGTAGTACAGCTACCTCATATCTCCAGGGTCATGGGTTCAAATCCAGCCTTTGGTCTTGGTTGTATCTGATTGTGCGTATAAGTGTGTTCTGTGAGCCATCCTGCTGGCGGTGTACCCCTGCCTTATGCGCTGTGCTGCCTGGAATAGCCCCCCCCTCCATGTGCCACACCAGAATAAGGGGTTGCAAAGATGTTTTAATTAAGGAAAACGTTATAATGTTGAGGTGGAATGGTGGTGCAGTGGTTATCGCTGTTGCCTTACACCGCTGGGACCAGGGTTTGAGTCTCATCCATGGCTCCATGAGCGTGGATTTTGCATGTTCTCCTGAGGGATATTCTGGTTTACCCCACAGCCCAAAAACTTGATGAGGTGAGCTAGAGTTACCAAAGTGAGTGTACCCTGCAATAGTTTCGTGCCCCATCCTGAGTTTTTCTTTGCCTTGCCCCCAGAGGTGGAATAGGTCAAGCGATTACAGAAAATGGATGGTTAAGCAGGGGGCTGTTTTTTGCCCTGGGGGTGGGTTTTCTTCCCTCTGCAGGCTGTGATGACCACTGTGAGGCATGTCGGGGCCCAGGCCAGTGCAGCAGGTGCAGGAAGCCCCGCGTCCTCAAGCACAGCGTCTGTGTGGAGGAGTGTGGGACTCACCACCTAATGGACGCATCTGCTCAGCGATGCAGGGGTCAGCAGCTTTTCCCAAAAACAAACAAGCAAACACTGTGTGTGTCATCAGCAGATTTTAAGCAACAGATTAGCTGTCACCCGAACCTACTCAGACATGTAATTTCACTAAATGTACACAGATCTTACTGAGGCAAATGAGGTCAAGTACCTCACTTAATGATACAGCGTAGCTGCGGCATCCGTTTGCTGTGCAGCCCAACGCTTTTCGGTCTATTAATACAACAGGCCTCCTGATAAGAATGTTTATAGTGGATTGAGCTGTACTCATGCTGTGAAGGTGATGTCATTATGGCCACATTGTATATGTCTCCAGCTTGTCCTACTGGCTGCACTAAGTGCGAGGGGGCTGGACAGTGCACTGCCTGCCATAGGAACACCTCCCTAAAAGATCACCTCTGTGTGGCGGACTGTGGCCCTGGCTTCTATGCCAACCCCAGGACCCAGAAATGCGAAGGTGAGTAGCTGCCCGTCGCAGTCACGTGACATAAACGTTGGAGATTCATTAAGATTAAGAGGGATGTCGTCTCTCATAAGTATTTTAAGATTGGCTAGTTTATGCTGATGGATTGTCTCTGTGTCTGTGCAGTGAATACCCAAGCTCCAGTGCTGCGTGTACATGGAGACCTCATAGTGCCGATTGGAGGAACCAGGGCCCTGGACCTGTCACTCATTACCGCTGAGGATCTGGAGAATAGGAGGGAGGACTTGGTCTTTCAGCTCCTCAGGCTCCCCAGCAATGGCCAGCTGGCGCGTCTCACCAATGGGAAGGCTGTTCCTTTGAACCAGGGATCAGTCTTTAGCTTCTCAGATCTCAGGAACAGAGCCATCGCTTTCAGCCATGACAGAGGCAACTCAAGGCAAGCTGTTATGTTTTAAGTTTTTCGGATCATTTTATTTTCTTAACTGCCGGTAAATAACTGAATAACTAATAATACTTGCTAAATAACTGTCAGGCAGTTGCTATGAAACCTGCAGTAAAATGTAGGATCATCCATCTAGAAAAGTTTATTTTCTCACTCTAGTGCCAAAATATAACATTAATTTTTAATTGGGCCAGTCGACGCCATCAGTGTAACAGAGGCAAAGTTGTGTAGTCAGTTGTATCCTTAGTGTATAATCCACTTAGTAATATCTGCAGTGTCAAACACTGTTTCTATCTTGCCAGATGTTCAGTGGATTTTGGATTTGAATGTTCTTTCCACTTTCTTTGCCTACTTGAATTTGCCCTCCTGCCTGGTATCTGTGTATGGTAATATAGAACAAAACACTAGGGGAAGCACTTTGATAGGGAAACCTTTTGATTGGCCCAGGGGGTGATGTCATCGCTGATGAAGGTTTGTTCCCTGCTGACCATCCTAGCAGCCCCACAGAGGTAATTAACATGAACGGCCTGGCAGTAATTTGCATAAAGGAGCATGGCTGAGCCACACTCACTGACTCAGCACTGCGTCCAATGCCAGAGCCTTTAGAGTTTTCATCACGTACTCAGGAAGCAGAGCTCTTAGTGGCCGTAACACCTGGGTAATTCTCAGTCGTTTCAGCCTCTAGTTATCCCAGGAAGTTTAAAAATCGTCCGTTGTATCTATTTATTTATAACTGCCTTTTCTAGCACAAGTAATAGGGATATAATCTGTGAATATTAATGAGGTGCTGATAGTCAACAAAAACGCAGCACAAATTATTTATCTGCTATGTGTTCGTGTATGTGTACATCTACATAGGAATTCTTAATTTTTCTTATATCTCATCTTGCTCACCTTTGAGACATACAGATACACAGGTGGGTGCGATGCTCAGGGTCTGAGCAGGTCAGCTATTTGTCCGGCTTCCATTGAGCGTCTTTTTCTGGGTTGAGGGTCCAACGCTAATGTGCAGGACTCAAACCAGATCAGAGCCCTAACCCACTGAGCCACAAACATATTGAAAAATGTATTAACATTCAGGCAGATCTCCACTAAAGCATCCACACTTTAGCATTACCCTGCCATTGTACTATGCATTTTTTTTCCAAAAAGTTTCCAAAGAAACAATTGTTTTTTTTAAGCAGGTAAATATTTGAACTTAAGTAATGTGGGTTCATAAACATAGTGTGTGGTGGAGGGATGTGAGAATGAAAAGAACAATGAAACTCTAAAACGCATTTGCATTCAAAAACTGTTGTGATACAGGTGCATGAGAAATTAGAATGGTGGCAGAACAGCCAATGTATGGATTACGGAGCAAGACAGGCCAGCTGCTGCTGTTCTGCTTGCAGGAAGCGTTTGAGTGTAATGTGCTTGGGGTGTTGGGGTGTTGGGGTGCTGTGTTACAGGAGTGGCACGCTAATGCTGCAAGTCGCCGATCCTCAGCTGTTCTCTCAGCCAAATTCTGTGCACATCCAGGTTGTGTCCCTGCAGGTACGCTGCCCGTCGGCTCACCTGGCATATCCCCCCCCCCACCTCCACCGCCCCGGTGTTGGCCTTGTGAACTGCCTGCCTTGCCTCCTTTAATAGAGCTCCACCCCTACGCGTCCTGCTAAGTTTTAGCTGAGGGAAAAAGGTGTCGACTATGCAGGGCGAGCGGACAAGTCATCGTGACCTTCAGTCAGGAACGCAGTGAAATACTGAGAATTATTAAGGGACGTTTATCATTAAGGAGCACATTCAGTGCCGTCTTATCCTCCTTCCTGTGTGTCATCCTTCCACACTGAGTATTGCTGAACACATTGGCTCTGTCATGTGATGGGCTGGTCCCATATTGCAGCACAAAAACTTGCATTCCAACTTAGATAGGTGCGGCAAAATCTTCTGTTAAATCAGTCATACAAGTGATTCATCTTGCTTAATTTTAAACCCACTAGCATAGCACAATAGCATAAAATTATAAAAATATATTTTTTAAAATAGTTACTGAAAATAAAATTTTGCAATAATAAATGAAGTAATAAGATGTCATGCGGTCCACAAAAATCATTCTGCATTTGAAAAATCAGGTTCTTTGTCTCTTATTATGAAGGTATGTATAGTGCATTATAGATGAGACCTTAATAAAGCATCCATAATGTATAATACACATGGCTATAATGTGTCATGGTTTTTAATAAATATTTACAGCCCCATTTATAATGCTTTATGAATGCATTATAAAGTGCTATGAATGTGTTCAGAGAAATTGCCACATGGCCATAGTGCCATAACTGACACTCTCTTACAGTGCAGGTAATGTGCCTCATTGGGACTCCGTTTGACACAAAGTCAAACCAGTGGTACCCAAGGGTTCTCCGAAGAGACACAGTACCGAAGGAGTCCAGTCTTCGTCTCAGGTCACTGGATAGTGTCCATGTCTCACAGCCATACAGCAAGACAGGGAGCACCAGGACTCTAAAGACTTGGACCTTCATCCTCTTGCCGTAGTAGTGGTTCACTAAAAGTCTCTATTAACAAATCTTAACATAAAAAACAGCTAAATATGTTCCTATTATTTCCAGCAATACTGCTCTGTCTTTCAGTTTGGAGTGATGTAATGCAGGTGTGTCAAACTTCTCTTCATAAACAGGACCCTTGTACTAATAGCAAAACACTGTGTGGGAAATTACAATTACAGTAGGACAGGGTCCCCTGTGAATATCTTTCATTCCAGAAAAGGTGTTAGTACAATTACGAATTGCAATAGCTGCATCACTGGCCTCCTGACTACGATTAAAAATGTGCTGCACTTTCTTCAGTCCCGCCAAGCAATTTATTTTTCTTGTTGTTTTGCCCTTGCAAGCAGTTGTATTTCGCAGCATTGGGTTGCCAAATATTTTATTCCTTGTGTGCTCTGCTTCTCCCCAAAGCTAAAAATAACAGCCATATTTTACTTTTAAATAGCCAATACAAGATTTTTCAAATCACTGTGCCCACATTCTAGAATCATCTTGCAGCCTGGATTTACACCTATATCAAAATAACCTTTCATATTTTTCCATGAAATTAACCAACAGGCTATATTTCACCTCTGGACCTTGTGTTTCACACCTGTTATCTAATGGAAATTTATATAGGAATTTATATTTCCGTTTATGACGGAAATATATATGGTGGAATGATTTCTTTTAACTGCCACCAGCTGAAAATAAGGAGTGGAGTGAAGAAAGCCCACTTTTTGGAATGCAAATGTTTTCAAATACTCTTTTGTATTACAAATAGTGTAATGAGAATAATGAATGATTCAAGTTCTTTTAGTGCTTCCCACATTATTGGACGGCAATGTGAAGGGCAGACACCTTAAACGACACGTCTGTGTGTTATTGAACCACTAGTACGGCCTGTTTGCTGCAGTGAGTGCTGAAGAATGGTATAGGCCTGTCAGAATGGACACAGGGGCAACAGACACATTACTTTAGATTATGCGGCCAGCTGCTCTGCTCATTAGAGTCTGCAGTGCTGCAGAAAAGCAGGTCTGCTAATCAGGGACCTTGAAAATCTGAAATTCGAGGCTGGATGCACTCGGACTATTATGTAAATAAGCATGCCTTGTCCTTATCCCCGCTGTTCAGTGCTGTTTTTACAAATGTGAACGCTTTCATTGAGGCTACCAGCATTAATAAAAGAGCATCATCCACATGTAACCAGTGTTACCCGCTCAGCATTGCAATATGAAAAATGTAGACTGTTCTTTGGGAAAAGTTATACTTATTTGTCCAACAAGTTGGTACTTGTAAGTATAGTACGAAGTACAGTAATGATCATGTAATCCAACCTAACATAGGCCGGCTGAGGATGTTCGAGCTCTGTGGCTGGTGCACATACTCTTTATGTGAAGTGTGGACCAAGGTTATTATCCATACTGTACATCCATCCTGTAACCGCTTGTCCTATTCAGGGTCCTGGGGGGTCCGGAGCCGATCCTGGAGGCACCAAGATTGTTATCATTAGCAAAAACTATTTGTGAAAATGAAAACTAGCAATGAAAAGTCATTCTCGTTAATATCTTATGAGGAGAGGTTAGCTGAGCTGAATCTGTTTAGCCTTGAGCAAAGGAGACTAATGGGGGACATGATCCAGGTACTGTATATAAGATTCTAACAAGTCTGGATGCTGTTCAGCCAAATGACTACTTCAATATTAGTTTAAATACTAGAACTCGTGGCCATAAGTGGAAATTAGTGGGAGAATTTTTTTTAATGAATTTGAGGAAGCACTTCTTTACACAGCGTGTAGTTAGAGTATGGAATAGTCTTCCTGCTAGTGTAACGCAAGCTAAAACCCCGGGTTCCTTTAAATCAGAACTAGATAAGATTATAACAACTCTGAGCTATTAGTTAAGTTCTCCCCAAACAAGCTCATTTGTAAATTTCTTATGTTCTTATGTAGGAATCAATCAAATACCAAGAACACAGCCCTCTCCCGTATGGACAGTTTTATAGATAAAGATTGAGTACCATCATTATCAAAAAATATCAACAAAATGTCTCTTGGTGGATATCAGTTACTTCTGTGTTTGTTAGTAGTTTGTTGTTGAATTAATTTTAATTTAACTTTTTTTGCATCTGTTGTCTAAGCTGAAATGCAAAACTTTTAAATAATGTAAGCGGTAATACATTTTAATTCATTTTTCTAACAGTGTGGGTTTATAGTTTATATCAGACATCATGCTTTTCAGCTACATACCTTAATCAAAGCATTCCACAAAACAGCAAAAACTAAAATTGCAGCTAAATGGAATCCAAAATGAGTCATTCCCTGACAATAAAACAAAAAGTAAAACTATCTATGTGCTGAAACTAAAGTTAAACTGAAAAAGCCTAATAAAAAGTTATGAAAATTTCAGAAGAGTACCGACCCTGCAGTGGGCCTCTGATTTATCATCCTGACTGTGTGCGAGTGGCAGCTGGTGAGTAAAGCCTCTTCTTTTTCTCGAACAGCCTCCATGTGTGTTTGTCAACAAGCCATTAATGGTCAAGCAAGGGGAGGCGGCAGTGATTACCAGGTCAGTGCTGTGGGTTGCGGATGATGATGATGACCCAGAAGATGTGCTGCTGCTGGTGCTGGACCCGGCCCAGCATGGCCACCTGACACGTGTCTATGACGAGAAGCCGGTGCGGCATTTTACACTGGGGGAGCTGGGACGAGAGCAGCTGCGGTACATCCATGGTGGCTCCAGTCAGCTGCAGGACAGGGTGCTGCTGCAGATCAGCGACGGACACAGCTATCAGAACCTGCTCTTCACAATTGACGTGGAAAACCAGGTGAGGAGATGGAAGGTGCTGTGCTTTCCTGCAGGAATTCCCTATGTCTTTAATCTAAATATTATCTGCACTGGACACCCTTCAAGTTCAGCACTTAGAAGTGACTTGTTCACAAAATTGTCTCAAAACTGTTTCTGGATAAGGACAGACTTTTCTTGGAGGGAATGTTATATTGATGCTTCAGCCTTAAATGTCCTGTGACCGGTTTACATTCCCAAAGTGCTTTTCTCTTAAGTTCATATAATAATATTGCTAAAAAGAGTATTCACTTACAGAAAGTAATTATAGAAAGTCCAGTCAGCATTGTGTGAATTGACACAGCAGTGTTTGTTTTCGAATGCTAAGTTGCGTGTAAAGAAAGGCCTATTAAAAGATGCATGACAATGTAAGCTGTGCAATAACTGCAATTTAATGATGCAATTGTTATTCTTTCTTGTGACCAAAGCATTTTTTGCAAGAAGCTGTCGTATTTTCCCAACAGTCGTGATTAACCTGTTTTAGATAGACCTTCTAGGCTAAACACAGTTTACTTGCTCATTCAAATGCTTTGATCTCTAGGGTAAAAAAAAATAGTAATTTGAATTAAATGTCCACAAGGCCTGATCCTTTTCTGTTCTGTTTTTCTTTTTTCCTTCAGAAGAATTTGGTGGAATGTTCTAAAGGTTGTTACGTTACTCAGGATTACAATTTATATGGGTAATGAAAGGTATTGAACTGTGTGACAGGCTGCTTTTCCAAGAGTGCAGTGCTGGTTTCACTTTATTTCAAATGGTGTAGCTCTTTCAAGCTTATAATGCTTTGATTTTCCACCCATAATTTATGAGTTACATGCAAGAACCACTAATTAAAAAATAATAGAAATTTACAAAGCGTAAATTGCAAAGCACAAAGTGTTTCTATGAGTATGTAATCAGAGGATTGTGCATAGCGTGTCATTGCTTGCTTGATTTATTTATTTATTTTGTATTTAACATATGCATTAGTAAAACCAGTGTCACAGTGATCTAGTGGAGAACACTGTAGTCTTAAACCTTCTGGGATGCAAGTTTTTTTCCTGCCTTTACACTGTGTGTCAATTGTGCATATTCTCTCTATGTTTGCTTCCACTGTCCAAGTGAATTGGTGTCTCTAAATCGCCCAGACTCTGTGTGCAGCAGTGCGCCCTGTGATGTCCTGGCGTCCTGTTCAGGATGTTCCCAGCCTTGTGCCCTAACTCTCCTGGGATAGGCTGAGCATTCCCTCTGACCCTTATGAATGGATTAATGTTAGAAACACTACAGCAGCTCTGCTGGTGATATTTCTCAGCTTCCGATATTTATGTCCTTTCATTAAAATTTCATTGGACCTGTGCACCTTCTAATGAAGCTGGCAGTAAACATATCTTGAAGAATGTTCTTTTTTCAGCAGCTGCTTCTTCCTTTTGCGCTCTGACTTAAAGCAGTTATGAAGTAGAACACATGCAGTATTTATTCTTTGTTTGCTTGCTGCCGTCCAGTCTCTTGCTAGTACAAGAATGATCTAATACTTGTTTTTTGCAGAAAAAAATATTCTGAAGCAAGTTCTTTTCTGCATACTAATAAAATGTGAGGTGAGCATATTATGTCTACTGTGCTGGAACATACAGTGTTTATTTTTTTCCACAGGGCCTTGTTACTTCTCATGTTGTGTCCTTCCTCACTGCCTGGGTGAATGAAGGGGGGGCGGTCAGGATCACCAAAAGGCATCTGAGAGCAGAGTGTCACGGCTCCAGGGACTCTCAAATTCACTACACCATTTCCCCCTCCAAAGAAAATCCCAAGTATGGTACATAGACTTTTAGGACATATGTTTATTTTAGTAATTGTTTCTTTGTGCTGCTAGACATCTACAGTTACATAAACATGCAGAAAAGAATTGAATGACTTATTCAGTGTAGTGTTTTGTCATGGCCGTGAAATAATTGTGTGCCTTAGTTGAATTCGAAGGTATTCTGTCAGGTGGAAGATGAAGGTCCACTACGTGCTGCAGTCTCTGGTTTTTCTTCAGTTACAAATACTTGCATCTCCTAGCCACACCCATTTTTATGCACTTGATGAGGCATCTGAACTAACAGTGCTTGTATATGTGCTTGATCTCCTTGGCACAGGTGAAATTGTCCTCTGGTCATCCATGTCAACCAGCATCCATGATGAGGAGCTTCTCCTTAGCAATAATCCGGCTGCTATAGGAGTCCTGTCGTTCGCTCAGGCAGATATCAACAGGGGCAGAGTATGGTATCGACACTTGGGCTCCAGGGTGGATTGGGATGCAGTTAAGTTCCAGGTGAGGAATTTCAAAGGACTGGATTTAATTGGAATGGATTGAAAGTTTGCTCCTAAAATATGCTTTCTTCTGTGGCTTTTAGACACATAATACCCTCCAACAATCTTCGGAGAAGGTTTTCAGTTATGTATCATTGGATTATGCTTTCAAAAATTTGTTTAGGTTGTGGTTACAGGTTGTGAGGATCATACAGAGGTTAGAAATTTAGTGCTCATGAAGTTTTTCAATACAAAAATTGTGCACTGAATGACATGGTCTACAAATAATTAACATAAACGGTCATAAACGGAAATATATATTCCTATATAAACATAATTATAAGTACTAGCATTAACAACCGAAAATCTTTCTTGGTAATATCTTTAGAAATGTATAAATTGTCAGTCCATTTTTCAATGGCCTCCACAATCACTGCGACAAACACTGCAGTTACCATGGAAATTAAATTGATTGCTTGGCCTTGACCAAACCATTTTGATTATAATGAAGAACAGAGGTAAACAAATAATTACTTTACTTAAGTTTCTGTTTTAGAATGGATTTCTTTTTTAATTTGCATCCTGGCAAAAAACCATCTACAAAGTTAGCAGGAATTAAAGTAGCTTCCATAGCCATTACATGGTGAATTATGGAAGACAATGGGAATTTACATGTCCATCTCATCTCTGACAAAGATATCCATATTCTGTGCACCATAAAACATGATGGAGTTCTTAAGAATAAAAATATGTATATCAAGCATGCTGCATAAACTAAAGTGTAAGTGTTAGACGAAAGCTAGCTAATATTCGGTAATGCTTCTTCTTAACTGCAGTTTCATAATGCCCTTAAAATACATTAGTAGAACATGCAGTGCACCTTCATAATGCATTCATACAACATTCATAAGCAGTCAGTAACACCCTATCATGCTTTAACAGCTTTAATATACATTAATAGCAAACACATGATATGTTTGTTATTAATGTTACATGAGTATACAGTTATAATGTCTATCATTAAGCCCACATATAGGATAGGATAATTTCTTCATTGTATTATTAGGCCAAACTGCATTCCGTTGTCTGAGTACTGTTACTTGTTCTTTACCGTGTCTAGAGGAGAAAAAATGCCATGTGGAGACTTATTCTGTCTCACGATTTTTACCCTAACGGCCATCTGTAATAATGTGTGTGTTTGTGTGTGTGCGTGTATGTGTGTGTGTATACAACCACAAATCAGAAAAAGTTGGGACGGTATGTTCAATTAAAATCAAACTGAAAACAGTACTTTGTTAAATTATCTTTGACCTGTATTACATTGAAAACAATACAACAGCACATTATTTAATGTGTTCCTCATGAATTTTATTGTTTTTCTCAAAATAAACACGTATTCCAATTTTGGTTCTTGCAACACATTTCAAAAAAAGTGCTGTAATGGTATAGGTATTTGTTGTGTACTGTTTTTGTTTTCCATATATATTTGTATTTTCAAATTACAAATTACTTGTATTTTAATTAAATACATTTTCTCCCACCAGTAGTTATTTTGTTACATTTGATGAGTAAGTTTTTGTAATTTGGAGCAAGATAGTTTTTGATGTATTTGTGCCCATCTCTGCTTTTAATTCATTACGAAGGTGCACAGAATGGTATACGAATGTATTATAAGACCATTATGAAGGTTTATTTATTGTAAAGTGTCACCTAATATTCTTAAATTATAACTCAGTCATATTGAAATCTTTATTGTCACAAAGGTGGATTGTTGAAAGCAGACACTGCTTGTTGCAGGTATCATGTGAGGGGTCCTTGAAGAGCATCATTCTGGGCCATACCCTCAGGGTTGGAGTTCTTCCACATTCTCCTGGATTTCCCATACTCTCCTTGGGCTGCACTTTACAGATCACAGTGAGGAAGTTCATAGAACATACCCTGGACATGTGTCTTTCGGTTTGTAACAGTCAATCTGTGCTCCACTGCCTGAGTTTGTGTGTATATTCTTTTCCCCACACAGGTTCCTGAGGATTGTGCTACAAAGATCCTACCTTCTGGGCTTTCATTTGTTGTGACAGAAATGCCCAGTGAAAATTGTATCTACAATATCACCATCCCGCTAGCTCAGGAGCAAGGTACAAAAAAAGGGAATTATCAGGTCCAAAATGTACTGTAGCTTTTGGAGAAATAATGGTCAGATTTCAATGGCCGCTACCTAAACCATATTTTTTCTTGAATTCTCTTAATGACTTTCACTTTGTTCTCAAGTCACTTTCAACAACCAGTCACTTCAGTATGCAGTCACTTTTACCAATGAGCACATCAGACATTAATAATCCACCACAAAAGAAATCTGTAATAATACCCAAGTATCCCTAATCAGTTTCGCCAGTCAGAATCCCTCTAGTCAGTCTCATTATCCAAGAATCCATTATCAATGCAACACCTTTAGTGACTTCATTTATTTTGTCCTTGTAAACCACCCTAACAGCTCTGCAAGTACAGTACTCCATATACTCCAGTGTAGCATGCTTCAGAATTTCAATTCCTCCCCTTTACTGGCACCAGCATTAACAGCATTTTCAAACCATTTAATCAAATATTTTAATTAAGTTTTTTGCAGTGGAAATTGCCTTTATCAAGTTTATGAAGTCATTGTTGAGAGACCAAAATTCATAACTGCGATGTCTTACCTACCAGTGAGGTACAAAAAGACATTAGTTCTTGTCCCATCTGTTGATACTGTAGGTACTATAGAACACAAAGACAAAGCTTATACCCCTGTGTACTCTTTCACACAACGAGATATTGATAACGGAAAGATCCTATACCGACCTCCAGTGTTGCTGCCCTTCATGAAAAGGCTGTACAAATGTTTCTTCACAGGTGAGTGATGAGTCAGTTACCATTCTTATCTCTAGGATATTACACTGAGAATGACGAACAACAATAGACAACAGACAATGCAAGTTTTCTGTCTATTAGTCTATTTCAATTCATTTTCCTTAAGACCACATTTTACCTATGCTTTTTTGGCAGATAATCGGATGTTAATTACATATCCAGTGTGTGTGGGTGAAGACATGCAGTGGCATTCATAGAAAGTTGATGCCGGTATCTGAGGAAAAAGATGCGTTTCTGCTGAGAATGCACACTGGCAGCTTGACTGAACTTGTAGCGTCCTTAATACTGCTGAATTTATGTAGGCGGTCAAAATTCTTTTGAAGCTGGGTGCTTGCCTTTTCAAAAAAGGCCGAGCAAAAACAGGAGCAGATTGAACAATTTTTTTTGTTATTATTATTTTTAAAAACTTAACGGCTGTTTTATTTTTGTCATATGGGTGTATTACCCTTAGGACGCCTATGGCCTAACCGCTGTTATTATGTTCTTTTTTTAAATTCCTTAAAATTACCCTCTGCAAATAATCCACCACATTCACATTTTACAATATATCTCATGTAGTTATTGCCCACAAAGCGTGTGTACTGTTGTTTACTAGCTGTTGTATTTTTTACTGGGTCTCTTTATGGATTTCTTCGAGGTAGCTTATAAATTAGGGAATAACAATTCCAAGGTCCTCAAATGTATTATATAATAGGGCCAGACCAATAGAAACATTTGCAGAGCTGAAAAATTCAATAAGGATAATATCAGGCAATATAGTTTTATATAGTTAAAAATGAAACAGGTGCTAATAATTTTAGTTAAGCAATGCTCTTCTGCCTGACATTATGTCAGTTTTTCAATCTCAAAACTGTCAAAAAAGCTCCTCAAAACAAGTAAATGAACTCTTACAATGGTGAGCTCACAAGCAAGAGCAAAATTAATCTACATTTCTATTCTAACTTGACCAAAGCACGTTTTAAATGAATTGCAATTTGCCTAGAGCTTTCTCAGTTTCAGTTGTTTTGGTATTGCATATTTACTCTTTTCGTTCTCATGTTTTCACTCTTCATCTGTTAACTTCTGTTAACTATTTAATGGTTCAACCATGGGCTAAACCATAGCACTAATAATAATAATAATCCCAGGCTAAGTGTGGTAAATTAGCATTTTTTTCAGTGAGCCCTGAGAGAAGCCCTTTTGTTACTGTATGTACTGCATGTATATATATGATTGTATATATTATGTGAATATAGTATATATTAAACTAAATTAAAGTAGAATGTATATATATATATGTATGTGTGTGTGTGTGTGTGAGCGGGTTTACCTATCCTTATGGGGACACAATGTCCCCATAACGTGATAAATATCGGTTTTTTTTCCCTTATGGGGACCGGTTTCCTAGTCCCCATAAGGGAAAACTCTATTTTATAAAAATCGGTGACTGCTATGAAAAAACTAAAAATGCAAAAACTCTTGTATTTTGTTAGGTTACTTATGGTTATGGTTAGGGCAGGGTGGGGGTTAAGCGTTAGCGTTAGCGTTAGCATTTTTCCAATTGAAATGAATGAGCGGTCCCCATAAGGATATGTTTACCCTACATATGTGTGTGTGTGTGTGTGTGTGTATCAATGTATCAAGTATATCTCAGGGTATATTTTCAACATGGCCTATTATAGTCTTTCAACTGTTAATTTAAACAATTCTTGGAACTGACAGGGCTTACATTTGGGTTTCAACAACAGTGTGTTTCTATCTGATGGAATCTCTTATCTGTGGCTGTTCTATTATCAGTGGTCACTAATATTAGTTACTTGAATGTTCCAGTATCTATTGGGAACCACAGCACACCTGAGATGGATTTTGCTATTGACTTACTACCCAGTGATCAGCAGCCTCCTGAAATCCTCGACCCAGTCCTAGAGGTTCTCTTGGGTGGGAGAGTTGCTTTAGGTAAGGATTTGTCTCTTGCATTTACTTGTCAGTTTTGTAACTGTAGCACTCTGAATTGTCTTGTCTTTGTTGATGAGTATGATAAATTTTATGCAGCACATAGCGGTGACTCAGTGGTTAGCACTGATGTGTGTTCTCCTGCTTTTAGTTAGGCTTGTATTTTCTTGAGTGATTGCCCTTATTGTGGAAGCATGTGCCTGGCAATGGTATCTTGTTGCCTTCCCTTGTGACCTGTGTGTTACCTTAAGTTTTCCCTCATGCCTTTGTATTGGATAGATGTACCATTGTAGATTTAATCTGTAAATAAACAGCATGTTCCATGTAACCTATATGTCTGTCTAAAGATCAATCGATCAATCAATCACATTTTTTGTAAAGCACATTTCAAGATACCAAATGTCAACCAAAGTACTGTACAGAATACCAATTAACACATTAAAAAAATAAATCAATAGATGTCAATAAAAAAGAATGAATACAACAATCACATTTGAAGTATCAGGTACTTCAAATGCTAATGAGCAAAAATATGTTTTCAATCTTGTTTTAAAGTAGCAATTGATATTTTGATGTAATGGGCTGTGATAGCCACTTAATCGCCGCAAACCGAGGTGCCACTCTTGTGCCCTGTGTAGGTGTGCAGCACTGGACTGGGACAGATTTGGAAGCAGATGCCGCTAATTCTCAGCTTGACCTGGTGGAACCTCCCTGTCACGGCAGTCTTCTGAGAGCCAGCTGTGGTGGCCAGGCAGAAATACCTGCCAGTATGCAACTGCAACATTACCTGCCAACTGTATTGTACCTATAGCAAATTGCAAGGGTTAGGGTTGCAAGGAACAATGTTTCTTTAAGATTGTGGAAATAGTCTGTGATTAATTCCATGTTAGCTGTTAGCTTGCTAACTGTCGATTTAAGTTCCTGTGGTTCTGAACTTCTTCAGCAGTAAGGATGAGTTTTACTATGGGTGACTGTCTTCAGCTGCTGTTTCTTATGCTTGACAGGCAACACCTTAAGTGTGGGTGACATCAAACAGCATCTTATTCAGTATGAGCACGCGGGAAAGAGCACTGAAGACGATGCAATGACGTTTATTGTGACCCATGGCTCCTCTCTCATGATAACAATGGTGAAAGTGAAAGTTCTGGTGCCAGGTGAAAGAGGCAACAGGCCCAGTCTGAAGTGCGACACGGTTCTATCCATGGAAGTGTCAGAGAAGAGTAGCACCCCAATTAGGCACACACATCTGGCCTGCACAGTGAGTGTGGATAAATATTAGTATGAATGTAAATTAAACTCCACAATGAAAATATTTCAGTTCCTTTTCAGCCATTCTTTTGTGGCAGACAAGTGGCATAGCCGCTGTTCTTTGCTGCAGATGACTGCACAGAGTTTGGAGTCATTAGTCCAGTCATGCTCTGTTAATCAGTTAATAAAGCTCATTTAATGAGTCTCAGTAGGCATGAGAATGGAAGAGAGACAAAATTGAGTCCCTTTCCCTGCTGGATCTCTATATAACTCACTCAGAATGGGATTTGGTTTTGTTTTTTATTCCATGGAGAATTGCTGTATGAAACTTCAAACTTGCATGCAGATTTTCATGTATGATTATGTTACAGTTCTCAGATCAAGTTTGTTGTGAAAGCATGTCAAGACAGCATATTAAATAAAATGTCATGACTGGTCATACTTTATTTGAGGGGACATGAATAATTTAGTAGTACATGCTTACATAATGCATTAATTGACCAGTAACAAAGTGTTAGTTACGTACCGATCCCATGCTTGTTCATCATTAATCAATCATGACAGTTCATGTATTCCATTCAGGCACTATATTAGTTAACAATTAACTAATTAGTTAATAAGGGTAGGACTTCACTTGAGGCAAAATATTACTTTAATACTCAACAAATCATGAACTAATACAGGTTTCCCTATGAAAAATACATGAATTGACATGATTGATTAATGATGAATGAACATGGGATCAGTACATGACTTAGTTACTGGCTAATTAATACATTAACTAAGAATGTACTACTACATTATTCACGTCCCCTCAGGTAACGTGTTGCCTGTTGGATTTACACAGGATTGCAGTTCTTCAAATAAGAAGATTAAGATTCTTATGGTGTCATTGCCTAAGCATGGTGTCCTTACCTGGAAGAGTTCAGCATCAGATCATAAAGAACTGAAAGAAAATTCATCCTTTACAACAGAGGACATCAACCATCAGAGGATATGGTACACTCTAATTTTAGTGTTGGGGGGCCCAGGTTTTTTTTTTCCTGAATTGTACAATGCAGGTGCAAATTTGAAAATTTATAAACTATTTTTATAATATTTTGGAACTCACCTGCAGGTGAGACCCATTAGATACAATCAAAGATTATTATTACATGAATATTAAGTAAGCTGGTATAATTGTTTAGATCCAGTTTTATTCAGTGTGAACTCATATTTCTATGTATCTGTCCTGGTAGGTAAGTGATTCTCTGGTAAATGAAAGGCTTAATATTAATATTAAATTGAACAAGTTATGTATTTAGATAGTGCTCTGTTGAGATTCTTGTATTGAAAGCATCATCATTATCATTAGAATGTAACTGGTAAAAATAAGAATGTAGTGTTTATTGATATATTACTGCTCAAATACTACAGCAATTCTAAATGGTTTATCTTGTTCTTTCAGGTATATTGCATCTGAATGTGGAAATCCTCCTTTTACTGACACATTCCTCTTCATTTTCTGCGACGAGAATGACAATTGCCATGACAACCAGACCTGGTCTTTAACAATCACGACTTTGCCGAAGCACCCAGGAATCAAAGTAGGGAGAGTTTAAATTATATTATTGTAAAATGCAACTCATGGATTAGTGCTCTGAGTGAAAGCTTGTAATTGCAGTAAGTTCTGTTCATGAGGAATTGGAGCTTAAGTTACCAGGAGTTTTACGTAGTGTAGCATGTCATTCATGATTTTTGAACACATGAATGGGTAAATTATTCAATGCATTGAAAAAAATATTAATAAGAATAATACATCTTTTGTAAGGAAACAAATGTAACTCTTCATGTTACAAGTGATAATCTAGACAAATGACCTGCTAATTTAGCAATATCTGATCATTTTGATAGCTTTTTAGGAATTTTGAAGGCTTTATCTTATATTTTAAAGAGACATTCTTCAACAAAAGGTTCGCTGCTGCTTGTAATCTATCAGAAATAGTTGGGGTGAAACTTAAGCCATTGTTACAAAATGAAGGTAAGATTTTACACTGCAGTCTGTAAGGGGAGTAATTGTTGTACTCCTGGTAAGCTGCTTAATTGGGGCATAGTGACTGAAGACTTTTGCCTTATGTATTAAACTTCACCGGTCCATTTGATATAACATTGCCACTCCTATCTCAAAGTGAGTGGTTTACTAAATCGAAAATTTAACCAATTATTAATTATTTGTACTGAACATGAGTGTTATTCAGGGAATATTAAAATCCATCATTCCATCATAAAGGTTTTTGAAATGATTATTTACCTGTACTGATGAATATTGTATACCATTGTTATTTTAGTATTTATTTCCCCCCCCTTCACTCTAATTTCTCTGCAAGATGGGGGAAAACAACGACCCAGTTAAGTCAGTCGACATTATCTCGGATGGAAGCCATGTGGTCATCACCAGCTCCTCTCTTACCCTGCCGGACCTCGGAGCGCAGACGGACAAGCTCGTCTTCACCGTCGTGAAGCAGCCGTCCTTCGGTCTGTCCTAGTAATGTCATGTCCCCTATGATATCATATGCAGTGCACCTTATCCATATATTTCTATAATAAGGACCAGCTTTCACAGCAGCAGATCAATCTTAGTGTCGTTCAACATTGTGCTATTTAATTTATCTTCTATGCCTCTGTATTTGTGGATGAGAAGCTGAAATTCAGAACTGAGCTAGTTTTAGTATCATGCTGGGAACCAAAGCTCACTCAGTCCTCATGTAATCCGACAAAGAACTTTCATTAAATTTCCAAACCCCACTCAGTCAGAAATATGCTTTGCAACTCGTGTGTCTAAGATGTTGATAGTATATTACTGAGTGTGTGTGTGTGTGTCTGTGTGTGTGTGTGTGTGTGTGTGTGTGTGTGTGTGCCCTGCTATGGTCTGGCATCTGTGGCATCCCTGAGCCTTCTGCTTGTTATGCTGCTTGGGTTAGGCTCCAGGCCCCCCTCGGCCTGCTATGAATAAGCTGTAGGAAGGTAGATGGATTCTTGAAATAGCTTTTGCACCATGCATGTGAAATCTCTGTGTTTACTGCATTTGGAGCCCTGGCATTTTGAAAACTCTGAAATTTGAGGACCGAAATGAGACCAACCAGAAAGTTCAAAACTTTGAAACCAGGGCAATTTTTGATTGTGGTCTTTGTGGTCTTTCACAGGCAAACTGTGCAGGCTGAAGTTCTACTCGCAGCCGTTGGAGAATGGCAGTGTTCTTCTCCAGAGATCTAGCTTCAGCTATCAGGATGTTTTGGACAAGCTGCTGGTATATGTCCCAAATAACCTTACTGTCGGGACAGACATGGTGCTCCTCTCTGTGAGTGATGGACAGCACATCAAGACTGCAAGGCTGGAATTCAGCATACGTGCAACCAAGAACAATGATCGAACAATGATTGTCAACCGGGGCCTCCAGCTTACCACAGGTCCAATGATGGCATCATTGCATACAGCATTCGAATAAATGTTGTCATGGTGAGGATAAGTTTGGTACTCATTACAAGTTCACATATTTATGTTATTCCTGTTCTACAGGATCTAAAGCTAAGATCACAGATCAACATCTGAGAGGCAGTGGTTCAAACCTAACTTACATTATGACTAAGGATCCCAGCTTTGGGATGCTGCATCTTTCAAAAAATGGAAACCTTACAGAGATATCATCAAAGGGTCCAGTTAAAAGCTTCACGCAGGAAGATATCAACAAAGGTATATGGGCACGCCTTTTAACCAAATTATTTGATTTGAGCATGTAATGAATGGCAAGATGATCATTACTGGACGCTGTTGGAGATGCAGGCATGAGAGATATGAAGCATATGCTAAGGATGTAGTCTTTCAATTAGGATCTGTAGAATATGTACATGGAAAGGAGGAGGAAGGAGGAAACTTCACTTTCAAGTTTAACCTCAGGGATTCTGAAGGCAAGAAACTGACTGAGCAGTCCTTCCTCATCAGTGTACTTGGTATGTATCAATTTTCATTTTTGTCATTCAAACTCCACATCAGTGATGCTTTTTACAATGGAAAAGTTGACAACTTTATTATTTATTATTATTATTTATTATATTATATTATTTTATTATATGGTATTATGGTATTCTTACCAATAGCATGGAAATAATTATATGTTCACAAAGATCTTTTTTAAAATGCAATCTGTAATATTAGCTTTCTCTTTTTTTGTTCATATGCAAACCTTTTTAGAAAAAAAAGCTAATAGCAAGGTGTTTATTTTATTACACAAGTGCTAAAGGTCACGTTAGGTTTGACAAGGACAGTGGGCATGTTTTGCTTTGAAAAGGTCAACTTTTCTTGTTGGGGCTGCATGCATATTTAGTGGTCCGTGGTTCCTTAGAGCAGTGTTTCCCAATCCGGTCCTCTGGGACCCAGAGACAATCCACGTTTTTGCTCTTTCCCAGCTGCTTGCCTGACAGTCCACATGTTTGCTTCTTCTGAGCTCCTTGCCACCTGTTAGGGAGCTGAGAAGGAGCAAAAAAACGTGAACCATCTGTGGGTCTCCGAGAACCAGATTGGCGAACACTGCCCTAGAGGACAGCCGGCCCCCATCTGAAGTACTTAGCGATGGTCTTGTGCTGGAGCAGCCTGTGAAAAAGATGGCTGCTCCCAGGACAGGGAACTGCTAGAGCTGGTGCTCTGTATTTCTACACCAGTCAGCAGGGCCACCTGCAGAATTCTGCCTCTTTGTCATTCACACATACATTTTTGTCCTAATGAGCACATCTCACTGATTCTCCCTTTAATACAATTAACAATCCCTCCTGTCGATACCAAAACCCAATCAAAAACATGAACAAAAACTTTCGTGTAGTGTTTAAAGGGTGTTTTATTTTCTAAAAATGTGAACCAGCAGTCTGCAAATTATGCATACATAGACTTAAAAGCAAAATATACACAAACTAAGGGAGTCAGACTTACTTAAGGAATTAGGGGCGTGAACATACACATGAAAATTCTCTGATGTACAAAGACAAACCTTGAAAGTCAAGTCCCGTAGTCATGGATATACCGAAAGACAAGAGTCAGTAATAGGCAGAGACAGGGAAAAGCACTGATAAACCACACTACTGCACCTCCTGAAGTCTCTGCACTGTACGATATGACTCCAGTGCATACTGTAGCAAGGAACTTCAAAAGGATGGATGTAACTGCTCCAGTTGCTCAGAGAGGATAGGGTGTATCTCTGGAGGACAGTTACAGCCTGATGACCCACCGATCACCCTCTGCCTCCAAAATCGACAAATGATTTGCAGCAGTCCAAAGAAGCTCATAGATTTTCTTTTCTCTTGTCTTCTCCTTTAACGCACATGGAGCACAAGCAGACCGATTCAAACTTTTATTTAACGGACAGGTTAAAAATGCCAAGACAGAGATGTGCTCACATCGTTTTATGGATATTACACCTATTATGTTAAGAGTCCATGGACTCATTTTGGCACCAATGTCTTCTCTGTTATTATAGCCCAGTTTAGAAGTTTATAGAAAATACAGTGTACAAAATTCTGGCATGATTATGTTAAAATATCTCTTTAAGAAGAATAATAAAATCTGATCACAATTTTTCTTGGCAAAACGTAAAAGTTTTCCTATTGGCTTATATTGTCCGTGGAGGTCTCCTCCAGCATCGTTGCTATTGCAACCCAAATGAAAGTTTCCATCAATGATGCGGTACTAATCACTTTTAGCATCTTCTAGAAATAGCCACCCATAGCTGATCAGGCTTCCTTCCAAAATACAAAAAAAAAAACAGCTTCTGTGCTTGTTTCCCTGTGACAAGGAGCTGGAATCCTTACACTCTTCATGAATTTCAATTTGTTTCCCCTCAACGCCTTGACTCTTCAGCAGTGTGTGTGTGTGAGTGCGTATGTGCATCAGTGTGTGTCGATGCATGTGCGTGTTCTCTAATAATGTTGCAGCCATCTTCCAGATAGATCATTACTGATGTAAATAATAGCCCAGGGTTATGAATATTTTAGTTCTCTCTAATAATGCTCCTAACCCTTTATAGTGAAACTTAATCCAGTGCCTTTTTTCCAGAGAACAAATACCCCTGTGTTTGTCATTTAGTTTTGCTACATCTTTCCATTGGTGTACACATGAGTAATCCCATATGAAGCAGGAGCTGTGTTGTAGGGTGCATCAGAAACTGTGCCAATATTACATATCTACAGTGAGCCGTGTAAACCGTGTATGGGGAAATCTGCTTGAACATAAAGAGATGCCTGTCAGTTACCCACTAATGGTGTTTGTCTGAACTAATGATAAGCTGCCTTTCTCCCATCACTCCCAAGGTCACTCAAATATGCAACAAATCAGTAATTTGTAAACACCATACAACTTGTTTAGCTATGGGTGGTTTATGCCTGTCTTGACAACAAGGTTACTAAATTACAGTAGATGGGCCACAAAAGGAAATCAGCAGGTGGACAGGTCTTTCCTTTGCATGGATTCATACTTTTTTTGCATGATTATGTTTCAGGGACACAAATTAATACCTTTGCTCCAGGCAGTCTGACACAGTATACACACAACAGCGAAGAGAAAGAGCACGCGGATGATTCCACTTTCACCTTGTCAGACAGCTTTAATGAGGTGCGGCTGCTAAAAAATACATGGTTCTTTTTTGGACATAGTGACCTGATGAAATAAAATGTGCCTGAGTAAATGGCTTAGCCTGCACACTATGGACTTTGATTTTCACTCATTTGGGCACCATTTTTTGTAAACCAGTTGCAGTAGGCAATTTTCTCTTAATGACTTCTTGCAATCTTCTCACAGATCTCAAAATGTCACGTCGCTGGTTTTGTTTGAGAATAGTGTCTTCAAAGCCTCATTTCTGTTTGTTTTCTGTAGATCACTGAGACATTGCCTGTTACCCCTTCGCCTTTAGACAAAGGGAGGGAGGCTCTTACAAAAAGAAAAAGAGAGGAGAAACATTTACACATGAAGGACACCATCCTGCCGGAGTTCATTAATGCCTCGAAGAGAACGCAAGTGTGTCGCAGTGCATTATCGGGGAACCATTCCCCAATCCTTTTGTTTAGCTTGACCACAATTCCGTTTCCTTTATTAAATGTTCCTAGGTGGATTCTGTTGCCTTGAAGCTTGCATTGGTCCCTCGCCGTCACCAGCGGGTCGGCACGGTCACCAGGCGCAACCGTGGCAACGTCGATGGTGGTGATGACGTCCACCGAGTGGCAGATCAAGGGAATGAAGTAAGTAGAATAGTCAGGAAGCAGAAGGATCCCTTGTGCTGCATAAACACCCAGTCTGACTATGTTACATCATACACATAAATCATCCTCAGCAGATATTATTAACTACTGTCTAAAATATATTAAACAGTGATACATTCTATACCTATATATTTGACTACATGTATGTTGTTATTTTGCTTAGTTGATGCCATTATCTGAAGTCATTTAAAATTTTCTATATATAAACAACTCACTGTTTCCTGGAACTATCCAGATTAGGTACTGGAATTGAAAAGAACGTTTTTCAGGTTAAAAATCCATGTAAACCACACGTTTACCTGCTGTCCCTGATTGAAATGATCTTGTTATTAGTATCTACTGAAGGAACTGGGGCGGTTTTCCATTCTCTTCTTCTTGGTATGCTACAGTGGTGTCTGCTGCATTATCATCAAACTGCCATGTGCTGTTATATGAGGTCTCTCAGAATATTAACGGGATGTCCTTCCTCACACAAATATTGTTGATGAACCCCGCATTTTCCTCCTTTCCTCTTTAGCCCTGACTGAAGGCATTTTGTGGGGACATAATCGTTATAATCTGCTGAGCTCCTCCCAATAATCCTTTTAATAATGGCACCATCCTTTTCTTCACTGACAAATCTCAGGTGGGGTTGGGGGGGCCCAAGAAGCATACCAAGAAGAAGAGAATGACCAATACAGAACCAACTGCTAGCCATACATACTTTTAAAAACATCAAACTAAAACCTTTGAATGCTGTCCATGTTTCTGGGCTGGCAGGCCTTAACATCTATGAAGCTGAAGCACTTGATCTTACAGGCATACAGTTCCAAATCACAAGTTCTCATATGTATAAATGTGTAAATATACTACAGTACCTGATGGGAGCCTCAGGGCGCCTCAGTGGGTCATACTGTTGTCTTACACTTCCAGTGTTTGTGGATCTTGCATGTTCTTCATGTGCTGTACAGGTTTCCTCCGATGGGTATATGTGCTGTGATGGACCGGCATCCCGCCCAGGGTGTACTGTACCTTCACTTTGTACCCTGTGTTGCCTGGGATACGCTCCAGGCCCTCCCTGTGACCCTGGCCAGGAGAGGCAGCTGGAAGATGGATGGGTCACATTGTTTACCTCACAGCTTCCTTATATGTGTTTAAGATTGTTGCTGCAGTTTCCAAGAGGAGCGCTGTTATTGCTCTGGTGAAGGATGGTGCGCTGAGGCTTGTCACTAACCTGGGTTTGCAGTGGCTAGATTACATGGACAATAAGGTAAACACAGTGTCATAGCTCAGAGCTCTTTTAGTATTCTTTATTTTAAGGTATTGTCCTTAATGTGAATGTATGAGAAATTGTTTATTAAATAGTAGTGACAGATAGACAGACAGACAGATCAATCATATTATGGAACAGTAAATTCAATGAAAACCATCAAGTGTCTCACTTACGCCCCCTACTGGATTGTGTAGTTACTAAAAAGCATTTCACTTGCTCTGTGGTCAGTATTTTAACAGAAATGGCACATGTTCTGAGTTCAGGTGGCCAGTATTATCTCCAAGGAGGAGCTCCTCTCAGTAAACCCAGAGGTGGATGAGAGACAGGTGACATACAATGTCCTGATCGAACCTAAACATGGAGTTTTGACAAAATATGACAATGGAATGGCTATTAACACTTTCACACAAGGTATCTGTGTCATCCTTTGCTGCACATTCTACCCCAATTTATTGCTTAGTTGTTGTTTTTAACAATAATTGATTGTTTGTTTATGCAACATAAACTCCAGTGCATGAAAAATTATCTGCAAATAATAAAAGCTTCAGAAAAGTAATGTAAACCTAAACGGCCACACAATTTTAAGTAATGACACATTCTTCTTTGAATCAAATCAAGGAGTGGTTTTATTTGTATTGTATATAACAATTCAATAAATAAATGTTTATGATCATACCCCTACAGCTGACATTAACCTGGGGCTGATTTATTATGTCCTCAATGTGGAAAGTGTCCACAAAACCTTGGATAGCTTCAGTTTCTCAGTGAATGACAACAAAGGGAATGTGATTAATGGTAGTGAGTTCCGTATTGAGTGGTCCGTCGTCGCCTTTGAACGTGCAAGGTGAGTGCATGTCTGCCGTATGTATTTTAACTTGTGTTTGAAGGTCAGATCTATCCAGGGCTGACTTGATGACTACTCAAATAGCCCGGGGGCCTCTGACCATGGTATGCCTCTAGATACATCATATGTAGTTATTACAGTGTTTAATGTCACTGTCATGTAATTATGCATAGCTACAGTGTGAGCGAGGATGCTGGCTCCGTGGCAGTGAAAGTGAGCAGGAGAGGGAACCTTAAGCAGCGAGCATCTGTGACGTGCCAGACCGGACAGGGCACAGCTACCGTTGGTGTGACCTCCAGCCCAGGGCAGCAGGATTATGTGGAGTTTGCTGAGCAGGTATGATGCATCTTCTGGGAGCTGTGAGATTCAAGGAGAATGACGGGATGCTGCTTTGCAGATCAACGAAGACACTTGCACAGAGATACACTTCTTTTGTTTTAAAGGGATTGACCTTGGAGGAGTAGCAACACCAGCTGCTATTGTGACTCACGGGCATGACTAATATATTTCATTGGTAATATCATGCTAATTATCAGGACTGGGAAGCACTGTAGCCTCACACCTCTGGGACCAAGGTTTGAGTCTCCACCATGTTCTCTCCACATCATTGTGGGGTTTCTTCCAAGTACTCTTGTTTCCACCCACAGTCCAAAAACATGCCAAGGTTAATTACCAAGTTGCCAAATTGCCTGTACATGTGCATGTGTGTGTTTACTCTCTGATAAGTTGATGTCCCATCCTGGGTTGTTCCCTGCCTTGTGCCCATAGCTTCCAGGATAGGCTCCAGACCCCCATGACCTTCCTTAGGAGAAGCAGGTACAGGGAATGGATGGATTTTCAGGCCAAAGGAGTAGCACTGTTTCCTATCTCCTCTATGCATATGGGGTTCAAATTCTGTCTCCACTCTGTGGGTGTGAAACTTGCCACCTGTGTCGCCCAGGTTTCCTCCAGGTTCAATACCACTGTGTTTCTCAACCCAGTACTCTGCGACCCCCCAGACAGTCCATGTTTTTGGCAATTTAAACAGAGCTCCTGGTAGCTGGGAGGGGCTGGAGCTGGGAGGGGCAAAAAATATGGACTGTCTGGCCAGATTGATAAACACTGCTCCAGCATCCCCTTGAAGTCTAAGGACATGTAGGTGGTCTCTTTGCTGTTTCTAAATTATCACCACGTTCCCTTGTGACCCTGACAGGGATAAGTGTTCAGAAGATGGATAGGGACTAGACCTGCATTACTTCAATGTAGCTACTTAGCCTCCCATTACTGTATACCTCCTTATACAGACACTCGTTTTAATTCCAGTGTGGTAGTCTTACCTGCAATCACCAATTTCAGCTATGTGGCATTACACACAAATGAAAGTGGCTGATTCACATTAACAAATGTATGCCTATTGCTTAGGTAAAGTGACATTTCTTAAAGTAACAAGTCGTGGTTTCAGCTTAACACTAAGCTGCCTGCTCTGTAAACAAAATAAGAAAACATTACAAACTTTTCAGAAGTTTCCAAACAGTTTGATAGAGTTGTATGGTACTAAGGCAATATTCACTTCAAAAGGCTGGTCCCTAGAGACTGTGACATTGTATAGTATATTTCCTAGTCTCTCTCCGAAGTTTTATTTATTTTCATGTAGTTCCTTATATTGATTGTTGTATCCAAATTTTTTGAATTTATAGCCTACCCTACACTCCTTGCTGTTTACAGCATATTGACCAAATTTCACCCACATAAACTTCAGGAAAAAATATGAGCCCATTAATTTGGCAACCCAGTACCCATGAATCATCTAACAGTCTTCAGTCTATCACTGTCTGAAATACAAGTTATACTGTCATTAGATGCTTATTCTTTTATGGATGGAATAAGGAAGGAAATCCTTTGAGAGATGTGCCACGGAACTGCTGTCAGGTGATGTGTGACTCTGTGGATTAGGACTCCATGGTCATGATCTGAAGGTTGCCAGTTCAAATCCTGTGGTTGGAAGAATGGTTTCAGCTTTGTTTACTTAAGTAAGGCCCTTGACCCCAATTGCTCCAAACACTGGCTGATTCTGCCCTCTCATATGCCAGTCATTTTGAATAAAAGCATCTGATAAAAAGGTGCTTTGGTTGTTATTGTTCACATTGATGTAAGTATCTGTCAAATGACTTGCTGAACAATTTATCTGCCCCTCTACCACAGATTACCTTTAATCATGGAGAAGACAGCGCAGTATGCACCATTGTTATCAAGGACGACCAGGTGTTTGAGAATATTGAGAGCTTCTACGTGGAGCTGAGCAGGCCAGTCTGTGTCCTGCTGGGTGAGACATTTCAAGCTGTGGTCCACATTGTTGACATGGAGGACAAGCCCGTGGTGCAATTCCAAAAGTCTGTTTACCACATCAGTGAGGGCGCTGGTTTTCTTTCTGCTCCTGTCGAGAGAAAGGGTTAGTATGTCTATAAGGAGAAATGTTCAGGTTTATGTCCTTCTCTATTTACACTGGCCAAAAGTTTAAGGTTCTGTAGGCCTACTGTCAGAAAAGGTGCAGTCCTGATACAGTTTTGTACTCCCAATGGTGCAAAAGTGTTCATTAATGTCCATTTCTGTACCTTATATTGGACTAAAAGGTACATTTACTTACAACTAAGGCAGATTCTTGAGAGTACAGCCCCGGTGAAAAGTAATTGAACCCTCAAAGGTACAAATTGGTTTGTTTCTGACAGTATACCTCATTTGCAATATATGATCTATGAAGTAATAGCTTTCATACATAAAAAAGAAATTTGTTTAAATGATCTTCATGTTGGTGTAAATGTATGATTTTATGTTTTTAAAAATGTATTACTATAGCCATTTCAAAGTCATTGCAGTATGTGCAGTACCCATCCAATATACACATGTACGGTATTTGCTGACTCAGCCACTAGCACGCTCTGTTTGACTACTCAGTACCTAAAGTTATTTAACTAATTAAGTTGATTGAATTGGTGGTGAAATTTAATGAATACATGGAGTAGCTGGTGTGCCCCCGAGGAGAGGTTTAGGAACTAAAGTGGTGTTCTTCTAGATATCAGTAACCGTTTGGAGAACAGAAGAAATTCTTGTAGTTTTTCACTGTTATTTATTTGCATACATTCTGCTGTTAAATTGTATTTTTTTCTAAGCAAATATACACTTAGTGCCCAGGTAAATAGTTCCAACATTTTCTTTGACTGCATTTGCTCAGGACTATAGCTTGTATTGCCCCTGATGGGATAGCTGGGGTTGAGTGGATCTTGGGTTCAAGGCCCTTACGGTTTTCTCTTCAGTTGGTTTCTTTTGATTCTGATGTATGAAATGTGTCTTGTCTTGTTTAGGTGACACGGGCATCATTGTGTCCGCACTCTGCCACACTATGTCAGGGTCCTCCCAGGAAAGCTGGACACATGCTATGGAGCCTGGTGCTGATTTCAGCAGCAGTGGGATGCCAATTACAAATAGGATCATTTTTGCGGTTGGTGTGAGTGAGTCCACCTGTGATGTGAAGCTCGATGCAGAGTATGAAACATTCAAGGAGTTTGAGCTGGTTCTGTCCGAGGCCTCAGACAATGCCCATCTGGGCCAGATAACCACTGCCAAAGTGGTAATCGATGGACGTAATGAGGTCCCTACTGTATTTTTGGGAAACGAGTCTTTTACGTACACAGAGGATGCAGGTGATGTACTGTAAATGACAATGTTTTGTATCCTTAAACCTAACCAAGACCGAAAATTAATCAATAAAGAGCTTCAGAGGAGTTTATTTCTCTCTCTATAATGGAACATTTGTTCACTCAGGCACCATAGAGATTCCAGTCTTGAGGCGTGGCAGCAAACTCTCTTCGATGGCATCTGTGTGGTGTGTCACAAGGCCCTCAGATCCCATGTCTGCCACACCTGGTGTAGACTACATCTCCAGCTCCAAGAAGGTGGAGTTCAAGCCTGGGGAGAAAGAGCAGGTTTGGTGGACGGCATTCACCGTATTGAAAGATAATATGAAAATGTTTAAACAAAGACTTTACCATATGGCACTGGGGGAAGGAGACCAGGCACTGATCAATCAGTTAACTTAAGAGCGAAGTTTCCAGGTCAAAAGATTCCATTGCACAGATTACAAATCCTGTGATTTGTGGTATACCAAGGTCGGGGTTACTGGGGTGAGAGAACAACTGGGTTTCTCAATAAATTCAAATTAAAGAGAATAAAGCAGATTGGAACAAATCAATATGGATAAAATTGGTCACCTGATCCTCCCTCATGAGACAAGCTGGGGTCCACACTACCTGCCAGCTTCATTGTGATGTAGCACGGCTATATTGAGTCTAAATTTAAACAAAGGTTGCCATGTTGTATCTAAGAGAATTTCACCTGCCTTTTTATTTACAGACCTGTAGTTTGGCAATAAAGGATGATGCGCACCGGCCAATCATTGAGGGGATGGAATCCTTTGTGGTATTCCTCAGCTCACCAGAGGGTGCAATGCTCACTGAACCATTTGAGGCAGCAGTAATCATCGTAGACACCTTTCAGGACAGTATGTATCCTTAACCTCACAGGAATGGGTAATGCCTTTTTGATATATTTATGGTGTAGCAATTTCTGTCCGTTGCATTTATATTTTTAGTTCCCAGTATGCAGTTTGAGGAGGCCGTCTATTCTGTGAAGGAGACAGCCCACCTCCTGCACCTCCCCGTAGTCCGCTCTGGAGACTTGACTTTCACCTCCTCCGTCAGATGTTACACCGAGAACCTGTCAGCCTCAGCAGCGGAAGACTTTGGGGAAAGAAGAAACGGTGATGAGTCACGCATTACCTTCCTGGTGGGAGAGAAGGTAGTGCTTTTGTGGATTTTCAAAAGAATTCCAATCATTTGTGACTATTAGTCTCATGGTTCAATGATCAAGATTAGTCCTATTGTACCTTTGAGAGGTTCTTAAGCAACACTAATTCAGTACACATAATGTACTCCAGAGACGGATCTAGGAAACTTTGCACAGAGTGGCAAGAGGGTGGCATGTATATTTTTAGAGGTTGCAAGGCGAAAACATTCTTTCAGATGCAAAGGTATTTTTAATAGAATTTACACTGGAATTTCATTGAATATAATAACAATAATTTGTTACTTACCTTTCTCCCGCTCCCGATGCACAACTGTAGTTCAGCATTCTAGCTAATGTTTTAGATGCAGTTTAAGTAGCCTGCGCCTGCTATTTGAGAAATAGAGGATAAGTAGGGGCTGCAAGACATACAGCGCGTAAAAAACCTGAACAACATGCACAACATGTGCCAGCATGCTCTGGTTTGCATCCTAACAGTCATGAGATGCTAACCAAATGCAAATCGATTTCCAAAAGTTTTACTTACTTGGATAAACAAACTAGAATTGTAAACAAACTCACACTCACAGAAATGCTATAAATATTGTGGAATTCTGCTTCTGTAAAAAAAACACTATTTTGAAAGTTCTGACCTTTGGGAACAATTGCTATAAATCTTGTCTCGATTCATTCAGCGACAATGGTGTTTGGTCAGCTTTTCCCACACCATGTCCAATTTACTTCGTCTTGAAATTGTAAATAAAAGAATAAAAAATGTCTTTCTTGTGTCTAATTATAGTTTTTCTGCTTAATTCCATTCCTGACTTTATATCCTACTTTTTAAAAGTATTCCTGGTGTGCCCCCTACTGAGTGGCCAGCTATGGCTACAATGACTGTGACCACTATGAAGCTGTTGTACAGCATAGCTTTAAAATAAGGTGGGGCTTGTGATATGTCGTTAAACTCATCTTTTTACTGGCTATTTATTTCTTTCTGTTTTGAGGAACTGTACGATATTGGGTGGCCAAGAGGTCCTTCAAAACGGAGGGTCTGTAGCCCCCATGTTACGAGGTGGCTGAATGAAAATGAATGCTATTTCATGAAAGCTGAACAGATTGAGCCTTATTAGGGCTCATTTTATTCAGTAGGCCGAGAATGCTGTGAATTGTGTGTTTATGCAATGTATGTGCTGAAATCCATAGAGATATACAGATGATGTGACAGATTCAATATGAATAGCAGTAGTTTTTGCTGTTTGGCCATTTTAGCTTGTGTTTAGACTAAAGGACTATGACGGATATTGATCATTGGACCCTTACAGAGATCAACTTTGTGTAGTGAGTGAGTGCCATGTTATTTATGTAAACATACAGGAAGTGCACAATTTGACTGGCAGCCATATTGAAATGTTATGAAATTTATATTGCTATAAGTAAGTCATTTTTAGCCAGAATCTTATGTATGGAAAATTTGGAAAGTAGCCCTAGAAGGTGTGCAGGCTAACAGAAAAACACACACATTGCTATTATTTCTCCACATTGCTATTAAACTCCTCATTTGGTATGCAAAGTGGAACAAACCATCATTTTCTGGAGGGGTAGCCTACATGGTACTCTGAGCCTGGGAGATTATATTTAATGTGCATTAAGACAGGAGAACCCTTCTAAAAAATAATTATTAATTCTGTTGAGTTGCAGATGCCACCCCACAGATCTACCACTGTTGTACCCACAATGGATATACTGAATAGCAGGAAGCTTTATTGCAAATTTACCTTGGTCACAAGTGACTGCAAAGCAAAAAAAATCTGTACACTTTTGAAGCTATTGAAATGGTCATTCTGGTTCTATTATTTCAGTATGAATTTTAAAAGCATTGTTTTCTCTAAGGTGAAAAACTGCACCATCTGGATCCACGATGACTCAGTATTTGAACCCCAGGAGATGTTTCGGGTACACTTGGGGGGTCCAGAGGGCGGCAGATCCACTGGGGCACTGGTGGGCATGAATCGTGTTGTTACTGTTACCATCACCAATGATGAGGACGGTAAGTGAAGGAGTTTGTGCAGACCGGGGTTCCCCAGTTCCGGTCCTGTAGAGCCAGGCTGCAACACAGTTCACAGATTTCCCTTCTCAAACACACCACACTGAATAAGGTGTACACTGTATTGCAGACTGGCCTTCCAGAACTGGAACTGGGGAACACTGGTGTAGACTGACAATGTGACAGAAAAAGGTAGTAAAATCACCTGCAAAATTTTTGACACCGAAAGTAAATTAATGGGACACTGGGATGGTGCACATCTGTTTTATAAGCACGTACATCTGCTGATGCAAGAGCTTGTACAAGATCACTCACAGTGTAATTAAACCCTTCTGAAGTCAATTAAATGAAGAACACTCTGGCTATGGGGTTTTCACTAGGGTTGTTTTGCTAGCAGTGTCTGCTCTCTTCTACAGTTCCCTCAATTGAATTTGAAGATGCAAAGTATGAGTATCAAGTACAAGACCCTGAAGGTTCTGAGGACACACGTGTTCTGGGCATAAAAGTGATCCGAAGAGGCGATCAGAATCAGACTTCTGCGGTGCGTTGCAGCACCAGGGACGGCTCAGCCCAGTCTGGTGTGGACTACAGTCCCAAAAGCATGGTTCTCCAGTTCAATCCTGGTCAGTCTTTCTTAAGCTAATAACCTGGGATATTCATTTCATTGCCGATTTGTTCACTGTTACTGTAGTTATACCTAGTTACATTTGGAGATATAAGATAAATTACATAAGCAAATTAAGCTTTGCAGGAAAGCAAATATATTTATAAGTGTAATTAATGTGTAGAGTTTTTGCTTATAAAAAGTATATTATATGATAGAATTTGTCTTTTTTTCTGAAGGAATGGACCATATTGTCTTCAACATTGAGATTTTGTCCAGTGAGGACCGAGAGTGGCACAAGTTATTTTCAGTTATCTTAGGTCCTGATGAACCTCTAAAGGCGGTACTTGGAGAGATCACCATGGCAACAGTGACCATACTTCATCAGCAGTCTTCAGGAAATCTCATTCTTTCTGCCCCTCCCATTGTATGGGTTAATTATCACTTAGTACATGAAATAATACATGTATTATAGAACCTTTAAAGGGAACTGTGTCCTTTTGATATTTTATTAATAGGATATGATAAAGTTAAGCTTCACTTGTTCATGCTAAGGCTACTGATTTTTTTTACCCGCAGGCCACAGCTTATGCTAACTGCTGAAAATGTCAATCATAGCAGTTCTCTGCTACAAATATTGCACTATAAACATTTCCACTATCTACATATGTTTTACGTAACTAAAGCTGAATTTTTTTTTTGTAAAAAAAATCTCATATGATCAGAATTGGCTTTTTTAGTTTTCATATTTCTGTTGATGGAAACAAATATCTGTTTAATTGTGTACGCAAATCTTGCAGAAACAAGAACTGAGCCACCTTGTTTGGTACGTTTTGTAGGTTGTCTCCCTGTCTGATTACGACCATATCCAAGAGGTGCCAAGGGAAGGCCCTTCAAAATCTCCCTCATCAGGATACCCCCTAGTATGTGTGATCCCATGTGATCCCCACCATCCCAACTACTCTGCGATGAAGGAAAGCTGCAGGGAGGAAGGGATCAACCACAACTCCATCCACTTTGGCTGGGAGGTGGCAGCCCCTACAGATACAAGTGGAACCAGGTCCCCATTTGAGACAGTAACAGACAGCACTCCCTACACTAGTGTCAATCACATGGTAAGTCACAGGTCATATTAACTGCATCTCTGCTTTACTATCTACTGTATGGAAAGTTTTCCAACAATGGTCTTAGCTGCTATAAAGTAGTTTTAAAGTTTTGATCAAACAACTGTGAAACCATACACCCATGTGTCCAGAAATTCCTGCATGATATCAGTAACAATGAATGGGTGGAGATTGGATGTCAGTGATGATGGATGGGTGGTGATTGGATATCAGTGATGATGGATGGGTGATGATTGGATGTCAGTGATGTCATACATGCATGGCACATTCGCAAGCTTTGTGAGGTCAGCAAAAGTACATTGTTGCTAAATGTAGTATTTCACTTGACTATTCAAACACTTGTTTAATTATAGACCACATGATACATAAATGTCAAATGAATATTTACATTTTAACTCAAATGATTACTGATTGTTTTTGTTTGTGTGTGTGTGAATAGTGTGTGTGCCCTGCGAATGGGTTGGCCCGCCATCCTGGGCTGTTCCCTGCCTTGTGCCTATAGCTTCCAAGATAGGCTCCGGACCCCCTCGACCCTGAATAGGACAAGCAGTTAAAGAAGATGAATTAATAAATGAATGAATGATTGAATTGATATCCAGCACAGTGGGTTCTCAACCCTGCTCCTGGCAGGCAACATTGTGCAGATGTCTAAGCTTTTCCTCCTTTTTAAAAAGGTTATTATTGGCTTACACTAATAACCTTATTAAAGAGGGAGAGGACTAAATAGGTTTAATTAGCATAATAATTACTTTCATGGAGCACATAATTGCCTTGGTAGGCTGAAAGCTGGCACATGTTGTGACCTGTCAGGACCGGGGTTGAGAGCCACTTGTCTAATGAAATAATAAGAAGGCTCACAATATTCAATTTCTGGTCGCTTACACATCTGCTCTTTTCAAATTCCATTCCATCCTCTGGCCTAATTGTTTGAGTTTGTCTTTTATTATCTGCATTTCTTAATACCAATGCATTTATAATATTCGACATATTTTCCAAATACTCCCATTACGTAAAATTTTAAGAACATTTTATTAGAAATGAACATTTTATCAGAAGCTAAAAAAAATGTGACTAATTCCGGGAAACATCAGCACCCCTGCACATGCAAGCAACTGTGTTTTGTAGCATTAAAGTTGGTTGAAATGTCCCCAGAGCCCAAGGAGAGACTCATGCTCATCTCTGAATCCAAATGCAACTTAGAAGCCTTGTCTCAGGACAAGGCTTCTAAGTGAATCTTCTAGGATCACTAATTAAACAGGTTTCCCTCTGTTTGAGCTAATCTTCATTTATAGTACCTAAGCATTCAACCTATATTCAAAAGTATTCAAATTGCTTACTATGATGCTTGATTTCAGCTTGATGGATATAACAGTTACTTCGCCAGTGTTTCATATCCATCATATGCTTTGTAAACGTGTCTTATCTGTCGCACAGCTGCTGGACAGTATTTACTTCAGTCGGCGCTTCCGTGTGCGCTGTGTGGCCCAAGCTTTGGATGGGGCCAGCCTGCTGGGCCCCCCGCGGAGGAGCAACACTGTCACCATCAGCAGCGAGGGCCCCATCTGCCCAACCCCAGGGCCTGCGGGAGGTGCCAGGGGCTTCCAGGCCCAGTCCTTCATCGCCACACTCAAGTACCTGGACGTCAAGCACAAAGAACATCCCAACAGGTCTGCTGCGTTGTCCATTGCAAGATGTGAAAGCCATTACAAAGCTGTTGGATGAAATTTTAGGCTAACACTAATTGTGTATTTAGAGGTATTTTCTCTATACATGTCATGAATAAAAATACTAAATAAATTAATATTTATGATGGCTTGCCCAATCCATATCAGCTGGCTGTTAAAATCGGTCGACACCAAGGCTCCACAAATTTATTGGCATCGTCGGGAAACACGGAGAAGCTACTGATAGTGTCTAATTAAACATTGATGATGAGAAAGTGTTCCCTCTGGTTGGGGAAAATGCTGAGTAGCTATGCTTCCTGCATTATAACTTAGCTCCAGGGGTGGATTAACTATTTTGGGGGCCCAAGGCTGACATGGGTAGGGGGCCCCTAAGGTATGCAATCAAGCTAAAAGACAAACATGATGAAAAATGATGGAACATCAATAATATGCTAATCAAAGTGCTGGGTGCCTGCGGTAAAACCTGCTGATCCGGGTGGGGGTGGGAATGCAATCAGTAAAATTTGCAGTTGGGGGTTGGCTGACAGCGTACACTTGCAGATCGATTGGCCAAATTTAAAATATAGAATGTAATATTGTAACAAAAATTGTTATATAAATGGTTTGGAGTGGACGTTTGACTGAGACCAGCCGGGGCCCCGGGTGCCCCTCTGCCCTCCCAAATTCTGCCCCTGATTAGCACTCTTACCCTGTGATTTGTTGGTAATTCAGTCTAGGGTAGAGCCGTAACAGATTGCATGCGTTCTGTTATGGAAGATCAGTGGAAATTGTTTTTGCTGAGTTTTTTTTTTGGAGCTGTTAGCCATGGTTTGTGGCTCAGCAGATTCAAATACTGTGCCTCTAATATGAAGGTTGTCAGTTCAAATCCCAGGGTTGGCAGAGTGATATCACCACTGGGTCCTTGAGCAAAGCCCTTAATTCCAATTGTTCCGGGGACTGTTTTAACAAACAATATGTCTCTTTGAATAAAACTGTCTGCTAAATAAATGTAATGAGAGATTATTTACTAAATTAATGTCATGAGCATTGGACCCCCACTTACCTAAATGTAAGAAGTCTTTACCTTTTCTGAATTGAGCTAAGCACAAAGGGGGGTGGAGTACAATATGCTACACCAAGCCCTTAGTTAACCCCAAAACAGACACCAAAAAAATGAAAAACATAAAGCATCCGTACTCTGTTTTTGTCTATGAGGACAGTCCATCTGTAAGGTGCTTTTGTTAGATAGAGCAGACAATGTACTTTGCATTTCCTCTTGTTTGAAAATTCACCATTGTGAGAGTTTATTTTTTTGTTTTGAGTTCAACTTACAAGGTGGCTTGTTTCATATTATTTTAAGAGATTGTGAGTTTCTACTGTTTTAGTTTGACGTAATCATATCAGTTTGTTTAATTTAAACTGTTGGCGTGCAATTTTGGCTACTGTATATAAAATGAAGTTAGTCAATGCCAGTTATTGGAATTTTGTGGTATTGGTATCATTAACAAATTTTTTATACCAGATGGGCTCTAGTATTTATGACTAGAATACAAAGGAAAACCTCATGAATGAATAATGACTGATATTTGGGCTTCAGGATCCATATCTCAGTGCAAATCCCACACCAGGATGGCATGTTCCCCTTAGTGTCTACGATGCCCCTCAACAACCTACACTTGCTGCTGTCTGAGTCCACGTATCGCCAGCATCATATCTGTTCCAATCTTGTTACCATCAAAGATCTGCATGGCATTACAGGTGAGTAGGGCACCATCCATTCATCTATCTAAACTTAAAAGAGAAGCCTTCCAACTTCTTTCCAATACAAGGTCACATATGGAACTGTGTAGCCAGTAGGGGGCAGCACAGGGCACACGGTGAGAGTACGCCCTGGATAGGGATGCTAATACTTTCCAAAAAATCTTCCAAATAAGAACCAATAATAAATAATAACTAAGAATCGCATTAAATTGTCTTTCTTTTAATAATATGATATAACTGCATTCTTCCTATAAAAAAAAAGAAGTAGAAGAAACTAACCAACTAGCAACAACCATATTTATGTACTTCTGTTTCAGAGTCGGGTTTCTTGGACAATGTGGCCTTCGACACTCTGTCCCTGAGTGCTGGCTATGACCGGCCTTATCAGTTCAATTCCAGCGTGAGGGAGGCAAGAACAATCCAGCTTTACAAGCACCTCAACCTGAAGACCTGCATTTGGGCCTTTGAAGCCTATTATGACATGACAGAGCTCATCGACGTGTGTGGGGGCTCTGTCACGGCTGACTTCCAGGTACCAGAAGTCCCCAATATCTTGGATGGCTGGGAGGACATAGCTTCTGTTCCCAAACCTCCCCTCAGGGGCACCCCAGCCATTCCATGTGCTTGTTACATTTCACCATCAGCTCACTTCATTGACTAACCCTAACCCTTCATAAACTATGAATTAGCCAAACGAGGCTCACTGTTTCAGCAAATACATGAGTATACACACCCATGTAACGCACCTTGGGGCAGCCGTTGTGAAATTGCTGTATACAAATAAATTGAATTGAATTAACTGCAAATACTGAGGAGAACAGGTTTTGAAATGGTTCCGCTACCAAACTTTGACATAAAACCATAGTTTTACACAATCATCAACATAATTTAAACATTTTTCTGGCCGCCTAAGTATTATTTTACTTTTTTATTCATACATGGTTTGTTCAACCTAAAAATACACTGGACTCTGAGCAACTATACTACTACTTACGCTCAAGTTTCTTTTTTGTTGCCTAATGTACTGTGAAAAAAACTAAATACAATTACCTAAATGAAGCCATACATCAGTTTTTTTATATTCAGTATCTTCTGCGAAACTATATATATAGTTTTGTTAATGAAAAACGTTTCTCTAAATTGACCTCTCTTGATGTAATCTGCTGAGCAATGCTTTAGAATTATTACTGCATTCACACAGCTATCGCTAAACAAAGTATTAAACTCCAAGGTTATCGTGCACTACATAAAATATAATATGTACCATAAAAAGAAATTTACCCAAGTGCTGCACTGTGATTTGCATTTGCTTTGACTATTATCAAGGTCACTATAATGGCATAACTGTTGCTCTCACATGCAAAGTCAGCCAAACATGGAATTTGTATACAAGTCCTGCACCTGCAAATTTACAGGCTATGATATTTACCGCTGCGTTGTCTGTGACAGGTGAGGGATTCAACGCAGTCATTCCTCACTGTTCGATTGCCACTCTATGTGTCCTATATCTATGTGATGACACCTCGTGGCTGGGCGTCTCTGGAGCACCAGAAAGAGATGCAGTCTTCCTTCTTTTATGACACCATGCTCTGGAGAACAGGTACACGGCCCCGTTAATGATTAGACAGAGTGACATATCATCATGTCTTCTGGCAGAAATAACTCGGCATCAAGTGATGCTTCGAAGTAATGCCTATGGAGTGTGTAGTACAACAGGCCTAAGATAACACAACACAGAGGGATGCGTCTAATTTGAAAGTGATCAGATGTGGAAGTACCCATTTGCTGTTTTTATATCCATTTTTAAACCAAAGATACCTTATTAGGTCACACGAAAACCCCAGAGAAATTCAACCGCATTTCTTTTTTTGCTCCTATCGTTTCACTTCTCATCTCTGTGCAGTCTTTAAATAGCTTGACCTGTCAACATTATAATCAGTAAAACCTGTTTGATTCAAGTAGGAAAAGAAAAAGAAGAGAAAGGACTATGGGAACCTGCCCACGCTCACAGTTCTTGCTTGCTATTTTAACATTTATTAACTGTTTCATATATATGTCTTACCCTTTAAATCATATATCTCTTTTTTCCATATGTTAGGTATACAGACTGACAGCGTACTCTCAGCTAAACTGCATATCAGCAAAATATATATTATAGACGTCGGACGGCTTGTGATTGAATTTAAAACACAAACAAAATTCAGAGGTATGTTTCGCATTAAGTTTTAATGCAGTGTGTTTGTACTTAACTTGCCTGACACTCTAGACTAGTGTTTCCCAGTCGGGTCCCTGGAGACCCACAGACAGTCCATGTTTTTGCTCCCTTCCAGCTCCCGTAGGAGGGAACAAAAATGTGAACTGTCTGGTGTCCCCGAGGACCGGACTGTGAAACACCGCTCTAGACTGATATAAAATTATGGTGCATTTTCTGTGTCCTTAAGGTCAGTTTGTCCTAGAGCACCACACACTCAAAGGTCAAAGATCACATGTGATGGCTCCAGACCACCTGGGAGGAGTTGACTTTGACTTGCAGCTCCTGTGGAGTTCCCAGTCCTTTGACTCTGCACACCAGCTCTGGAGGGCTACCAGCTCCTATAGCAGGTTAACCAGTAGCTTTTGGTGTCCTGAAGGACTTTGAGTGCAGTGCATCCAGTCCACACACAGTTCCCCGAGTGTCCCTGTTGTGCATTTCAGGAAGGATTACTCTGGGGAATATACCATATTTCTAATACCATGCACCGTGAAGCTTACCCAGTCCTGGACTGACCCTGGAGACAAACCCCTATCCTGCACTGCACAAGCCCCTGAGAAGTATCCCACCCACCACCAGCATTTTAAACATTTCACTCATTCAGAGCAAGCAAAACAAAAATCCTCAGTAACTACATAACAATTTGTTCAGTACCCTAACTCATGAATACAAATAATTGTATAATACTTATTCTTCTATATTAGGTTCCTGGTTCCCATTGCGTTCCAGCAAACAAATCGTCCAGTTCCCATCGCCTACTCCTTAAACACAGAATTCCATCTCTGCAACACTGAGAAGGTGTTCATGATGGACCCTGCTGCTGCAGACCTGTCCGTGGCTGAGATGGATTACAAAGGAACCTTCTCCATGGGTATCATGCCTTTTTATGGTGTTTAACTTTTCTCCTGCTGCTAACTTTTGTGAATATGCAATTTGGCATTGCAACTTATGAATACCGGAAGACATACTCTACCAGTCAAAAGTTCTTTCATTTTGTATATTTGCATGTTATTCACTTAACATTTACTAAAAGTACACTCAGTATTCTTTGCTAACAAATAAATTTACAGTGTGTTCACCATTTGAGTACTTTTATTAGCAAGAAAATGTCATTCATCAAAGTATCCTCTTCTAGCAGTTATAACAGCAGAGAATATTTGATGCATTCTTTCTACAAGGGACATTAAATACTGTTTGTAATAATGTTTCATGTGATGGTACAGTTACCTAGTACATTTAAAGTTAAAGGACAGCCTAGAATTTGACTCTGCCATCACCACACAACCAGTTAATAGGATATTAGACATGTACTGTTACATACTACATATGGTAGTGTACTTCGATTTTTGCTAATGAATACTGCATAAGAGTGTTTTTTTACATTTTATTTGCTCTTTCATAGGCATTTCATAGACAGGAGTAAGTTTACAAGAATAATATGCTTAATTTAATATGTATTATTTAAATTACTTTTGAGTCATCGTGCATACCATACTTCACTACAGGCCAGACGCTATACGGCCGTGTGCTGTGGAAGCCGGAGCAGAGCTTAAACACGGCCTACAAACTGCAGCTGGAGAAGGTGTACCTCTGTACTGGGAGGAATGGCTATGTGCCCTTCTTCGACCCCACAGGAACTCTGTACAATGAAGGTCCCCAGTATGGCTGCATCCAGCCCAACAAGCACCTCAAGCATAGGTTCTTGCTCTTGGTAGGTAAAATACACCAGTGGTGCTCAACCTTTTTTTATCCAAGGACCCCCTGTGTCTAGGAAAACATTCTTTGGGCCCCCCTGCTCAGGTTGTGATATTGTTTCTGTTGCATGCGTTCTGCAATGATGACAACAATTGCTGTTTATTAATATGAACATAATTTAATTTGGTTACACTGCCAAACACTTTCATTTCTTTTGAACATGACTCAAACAAGATTTCCTTCCACTGTGTCCACCAGCACTCTTTTTCGTTCATGATATTGCTCCTAAAACAGAAGGTGAATGTCTATAAACAAATAAAAACTAAATCTAAAGCCTATATGGCAAATGGTTCTGAAATCAGAAGCCTGACAATCATACACTTAATAAGTGAAAAGATCCTCATTTTAATACAGCCCTAATTTTAACAGACACTAGAAGCAGATCGATGTAAATGGTATTGTGTCATCCTATATCTTGCTTTGAAAAAAATATTGATATACCGTAAAAAATTGATATAGGCTACCCGTCGGTCTTTGCTGAGGCTTGAGAACCACTGAAATATGACATATTGATAATGAGCTTATTGGGTGACATCATTCTTTCAGCCTTGTGGGATTGAGTCCCACCTCTGTGTGTCTGCATGTTCTCCCCCTCCTGGCTTCTTATTGGCATCTGTAAAATTACCCATAATCCCCCATAGTAAATACACGTGTCTGTGTGTATGTGCCCTGTGACAGACTGGCACTCCATTCAGGGTGGACCCTAGACCTGCTCTTTGTGCTTCCTGGGAGACAGACAACAAAATAAAGGATGGATGAAACAACAGAGGAAGTTGCTCAGACGCAGCGTAGCACGCTTCTGAAATCGGCATACTAATATTTGCATAATTATTTCTCTTACAGATGCAAAATGAGTCCCTAAAATAAGATGAAAAAACTTTAACAACTTCTTCATTCTATATTCTTTCTATGTTATGTAAGGACCGAAAACAGCCAGAAGTGTGTGACAGGTACTTTCATGATGTGCCCTTCAATGCCAAGTTTGCATCTGAATCGGCTGATTTGCAGCCCATGACAATGATGTCTGGAGTGGATGGATTCACAATGAAGGTCGATGCCCTTTACAAGGTAAGCTCACACATCATACCTCTATCTACCTATTTCTGTTGCGAAGTGGAGTAAATCTCTGGCTGTTGTGACTTTTAAAGGTGGAGACAGGGCACCAGTGGTACCTGCAAGTGATTTATGTAATCAGGCCGCAGGCTGCTTCTGGTCCAAGGATCCAGCGTTCTCTGACGAAACACCTGAAGCAGCTCCCTAGTGACCTGGTGGATGAGACAATCCATCGTTTCACCATGGATGAATCCCTCGTCTACGACAATGTAGGCGACCACATCAAGAACGGGACAAACATGAAAGCATTGAGACTGGACCGAGAAGTACCCACTTTCTATCCACAAACTGGGGCCTCGATCGGTGGTGGGGTCGTGGCCATAATACTGGTAGCCCTGGTCCTGCTAACGGTTTGCATATTATTCAAGAAGCACCGGTGGAGCAGTGAGAAGTCAACTAGATATGTATCAGAGGAGTATCCTCTCAATACCAAGGTAGAGGTGTGCCTAGAAAAGACTTTCCACAGCATGCATTGCACTGTCAGAAAGGTCAATGTAGTCAATGTGACACAGGAAGCTTCTAACCTCAAAGTCAAACAGGTCAACCTGGAGGTCAAGCTTCATGGCAACCTGGATGATGGAACTGAAGTTTGACTACAGATGGGGGAATTTTTCTATTATTTTTAAATAACAAGATGTTTGGGTATTTTTATATGATTTAAAAAATGGAAAGGAAAGATGGAGACTCTGAGGCACATTCCTACTCTGTCAGAATCCAAGGTAGCTTATACACAAGGCTGCAGACTTTATTTGAATATGAAATAATATTATTTTAAGTGATAAAACTAACAGGCTTTTTTTTTGCAGAATCAAAGTGCTGAGTGACTCTAATGAATAAATTGGTGAAATTCGCAGACATGAAGCCAGGCCGTCTAGCCAACGTTCAATTTACAGCTGAAATAAAAACGACTGAACAAATAACATGCAAGTATAAATGCAAAATAACTAAAAAGGAATCCATACTTCAGGTACTTTGAATAAAACTCCAACTTTGTTCAGCAGGATTTGATAATTTACGTTGAGATAATGAAGTAAAAAATCAAATAAAATTCCAATTATATCGTGCATATAAAATACTGTCAAGGGAGCTCATGTTCAGCTAGAAGAATGGATTATTCATACCGTTATGCATAATGTTATCCACTCTTCTAAAAGGATATTTCTGCATTTAAATCACATTGTAAAAGCCACAGTCCTGCTCTCCAACAGTTGTTATACCTAGGACAGCTACATTTTTAATTCTTGAGAAATGGAGGATGAAAATGAACCCAATCATACAAAACCCTTAGAGACAGAGATAAACTCAACCCAGAGGACTAATTTTAATTGTATTTCAAGAGAGCAAGGTCACTGATGGAACCTAGCTGTTTGGATTGGAATATGTTTGGAAGATGAGAAAACAAGCGTGGGTTTTTTTTTATTATTATATATTTTTTTTTTATGAATTTAGAAGACGCAGTTTCTCTATTCAAGACAGCATTTAGAGAAATGTTGCCAACACATTGCTCACTAGATAATCAAGCAAACCAAATAGGATATAAGTGGCCTCTGCTCTTTGTAAACATGTCGTGTTCTTGTTATCTTAAAAGGTGCTCGAGCTTCCATGCTGTTCTGGTCATTTGAGCAAATGAACTACCTCATACCTACCACCGATGTTCCCTAGCAAAGCTCTGTCCTTAGTGGTATTTTGCATTCATGGCTGCGTATTACTGTATAATTTATATTGAACATTCACGATTCGTATTTTTTTTTTTATAATTCTGTGATCAGACAGTACACGGACAATCTGTGGACACTTTTCCACTATAGCTGTCTTATTTCACTTTGCACACATTAATGTAACTTTTAGACAGTGCATAAAACTGTGTCCAAGTAAAAGCTGAAAGTCTGTGTTCTGCACTGTGTAATAAAGTTCTGTGTTGACTGTGAGAATTGCATTTATTACATGCAAAATAATGCAATGGACTGTAACTTAAGTAACATTTTGCTGTTTTACTCTACATATTGTCTCTGCAAATATACCGTCTCCACTAATAGAAATATATCAGCTAAATCTATATCTGATTGCAAAAGCCACAGCCTCCTATACTTCTCCCCCTTTCTTGTTTTCTTGCCTTATGTATGTATTATATTTTCACTGTGTACTGTATTGTGTCGTGTACTGGTGTATCAGCAACAACAATATCATTTGTGGTAGCAGTATTGTGGTAATGGAACTGAAACTACATCATCTCAGTCTTCAGAATGTAATGTCAGAGAATTAAGTAAAGTTTCCTTCTACAACCAGCACTTTATTTTTCTTTTTCTCAGCAATTCATCTCTGACTAAAGCAGTGATTCTCAACCCAGTCCTCAGGGACCCGCACACAATCCACGTTTTTGCTCCTATCAAGAGCTGGGAGGGAGCAAAAATGTGAACTGTCTGGGGGTCCCCAAGGGCCAAGTTGAGAAACACAACTAAGGCAAGTAAATATAGTCATGCACCATAAAAAAATTACATTGCTTTAATTATGATCCCAGTTTAATGCCAGTCCTAATTAAAATACATTAAACAGATTGATAATGCTTGTGTTTAAATTTCAGCAAAATCAATAACAATAATAATCAAGCTGTACATGTGTGTATGTACTGTGTACATGCATCTCGCTTTACACAAGGCACAAGCAAGAAGGGAGGAACCATCACTGCCAACCACTGAGCCACCGTCCTGATCAGTAATGTCAAATTTAATCCTTCAATTAAGACCACAAATGAATATTAATGTCCATTATATTACAAGCTTAATATTTATTAGCACCTATATACAGTATATGCACTGCAGGGCCTCCATAATGAGCGTACTGTCAAACAGGTAAGATGTCGACCTGTGAAGAAATATTTTCCTCGTTTTCTGCATGACTGCATATTGTAATATTTAATATCCTGAAACCTTATCTTTAACTATTCCATTAGACACTAATGTGTGTATTATTTCTTTCTACCCTCTGATTCACCATTATCTCAGATAAACTTATTACAAGAACCTGATTTCACTGACCTTTGATTTGGTTTGGTTTAGTTTGGGTTTTACCAGACAGTGGGGTTAACTGGGGTGAGAGATCACTGCAAATTCCTTCTTGGACTTCTTTCAAATTCCCAATTTTGCTTTGTTAGAGATTTTGGCAGGAAGTCCGATCCCAGGATCATTCCACAGTACAATCGCATATATACTCTACTTACAAAACACTGCTGTTCACTGGAGTCCCAGAGACTTATACAGTATATGGCTGAGGGCTCCCAAACCTGCATGCTGACATTTTCATTGTTATTGAGAAACAGCTGGCCCAAGTCAATGTACAGTATTCAAACACTTACTTCAGAATAAAAATGTGATACATTTCTCCATCCTGAGGATCACACTTACTTAGCTTATGTCATGACACAGTGCTTACAGGCTAATAGGATTTATCTTGGGGGGGCGGGGGGGTGCGGTGCATATTGTGACATCATAATGGGCACACATGCAATAGTCACATCGTGGAACAATGCAATATCAGAATAACAGTATTTAGGGTACAGTGATAGAATGATTTTGTCTGATATAAGACCACTGAGTCTTCAGTAGGTATATCTCATCCTCCCGTTCTGCATGCGCAGTAAATTGGCCTCAGTAATGCATCGATCCATCTAACCCATAAAACATAAAACAAG